TTTTCCTTTACATTTTATTCCTATTATCACTCTTACAACTTTATCTTTATCGTCAGGTTCTTCCATACTATAGCTCGAATTGACGTAGAATATATTAGATATCAAAGACTACGCGAGATACTATAACTATAAAATAGTAAAAATCTTCTAGAACGATTCTTATATATTCTACGCCATACTAACCGAGAGGATGCTCCCTAAGTTATACCTATAGTACGTTCCGATACTCCTAATAAACTAATTCTTAGCGCTATTTCTGAGGCTACTTAAGTGAACGACGATACGAGTCAAGACGGAATAACCGAAGGTCGGGTTCAATACAGATAGATCTGGGAAGTCGTCGTCGATCGTTATATACATCTTTTACATTAAGATCGTTCTTCTACCCTAGTTGGTGGTATCCACTTGATAGGTGTCTGACAGCGGGGTTTCGAGGGTCGTATACTATATCCCAAGTAGTGTTAGCCTTAAGGCTATCCATATCATAATTCACTATATTAATCTGCCTTCCGTCGTAGTGAAAGTGCGGTTCGAGCGAAAATCGCTAAGCTTAGGACGACTGAGTATGGTTCAGGCGGCGTCCATCCAGAAATAATCAAGCTAGTGCAGCTGTTGAAAGGGCGTATCCAATGGAATGTAATTGCTGTTCTTCCAAAGGGTATCGCGGGAGTAATGACAGCACCATGTCATTAAAGTCGATGAACTGAGACTGAGAGCATAGGGCTGCCATTTCGAAGGGCGGGGGATACGAACCCGCATCTGCCCAGTCCACGAGCCACACCAGGCCGTTTCGGTCCAAAATAAGATTCCGCGGACTGATGTCCTGGTGGGTGAGAACAAACTCGGTGAACTTGAAGGGCGGAAGGTCCGACGACGCGTGCTTGTATGTTTTACAGATGTCCAACTTGTGGTTGAACCAGCCCTCGAATTCGGCCACGTCCTCGAAAGGCCCGGCACTGTAGTGCGTGAAGAAGCGACCGCGACATGGGCCCCCGCCGATCGGACCTGGCTCCAATAGCTTGATGGACTGCATTTCAATGATCATCTGGGCCGTCTGCCTCGCGACATCTATCTTTTGTTCATCACCGAGATCTCTCCAGCAGCCATCAAGCGGTTCACCGTCGATATAATACATCACAATATATCCCATAGTGCCAAAATATTTCGTGTCGTCCATGAAATGGAGAGACCGATGGACACGAGGAGCTCGGATATTGGACTTTGATGCAACTAGTTGAAGTACCTTTACCTCACAAGGCAGCACATCGCCGCCGCCTTTTAAAACGAGATCCTTGGACAATCGCACCACCGTCGTTTGGCCGAGATCGTGAAGGATCGGAGCGGACTTGAGGAGGTCGACGAGGGATTCGTCGGAGACGCAGTCAATGTCCTTATCATCCAGCGGGAATGCCCTGTCTGAGGCCTTACCGGCCGGCTGTCGAGATTGTTAGTGCAAGATTTCACCCCTGGGGGAATTAAGTAAGGGAGTTAATACGTCGGTGAACGGGCGTAAAGGTCCTTCCATATTTCCAATCCTTCGAATATTATGGGTAAGGTTCAGTGAGAAGGGAAAAAGCTGGGTTCGTATGGGAGTACCATTCCAAGAGGGCAAAAAAAGGTCCCCTCCTAAATACATTTGTCGTTTGCAGGCCTCTGGTTCCTCTGGTTCGAAACCCGCTGCTACAGAAAGGACGGTACGCGATGTCGAGAATCGGCACGGTGCCTTAAGAAGCTAGACGAGGAGAACAAAGACAACGAAGAGAATCCGCCCGAGTAAAGTGGCAGCATGACTAATATGGGCATAAAGATTGGCGTCACAATCGGCGTGAGTGCAACACTTTGGGACTTCAAGCCCAGCAAGTCCGTAAGCCATGAAATTGAGCTATCAGGTAAGTCATCAGTTCTAACCAGCCTTGGAAGATGCAATGTACCAATAGCATGGACTACCAGCACTCCTTGTTTATGGCTATTATTCTGCAAAGGACGAATGAATTCTAGATATACATTACTGCTTCACCTGTTTGATCGGATAGTACTTTGGTAGTGATCTGACGAAAGAACTAATTAAGCTTATCCGAATGCGCAACAATCGAATTTGTCCTGATTGCGCACACGACTCCAACTTTGAATTGGAAACTGGCCAGACGACTTAGTAAGTAAGAGCGATTACCATCCATGGATGGATCCTTCAAAGCTCTCATCTAACATCGTCCAGACTGCACCAACGACGAGGCTCGTGCAACAGTCCATAGTCTCCGGAAACTTGGCATCTCGAAATCAGCGGATTGGATTATCAAACACTACCACAAAATAGGGGGCTCCAAAATCTGGCTCGACAAGACAGTCCCGTCCTGCAACACTATTTACAGCGAGACCTTAGACCCGATGCTGCCCATCCGGGAATATGTAAGTGACCCGATACATCTGAATGACAGTTATATGATCTGATTACCGAGAAGTACGAAATACCACCTCCTATCCGCCAGCCGATGATTCGCACACATTGGTCCCGGTCTGGTATACCGATCTTGGACAACCACATGAGTGAGTCTGCTGAGTGGTATAATACTATCGACCCTCGCTGGCAACCTAAACTTTGGAAGCGGATGCGCTCTGACCCTTCTGCCAATGGGTATTTCTTTGAGGGACAGACCTCAAACAGCGCGTCGAAGCGGTTGCTAGAATCGTCAAATGAAGAAGGATTTGAAGATGATATTTCTACTTGGGAGGCCAAGAAGGCGAAGCTTAAATAGAGAAATGACAGCAATTTACGGGGTATACTAGCAAAGAGTGTTTCCCAAAATTAAGGATATCCACTTCTTCCAGAACAGTGGGTCCTTTCTAATGCAGCACAGTCCAGGAGACTGAATTGATGCACATCATTTTAGAGTAAGTAGATATGCAGCTAGCTTGACTGTATAAAAAAAGAAGCTTTGCGACGGAAGCTTTTCTGTAGTTATCTCTCTATATAGATCTCTATATTCTATCTTCTCCTACCTTTAGATTAACATTGTATCTACTTCGATGAGCTGATCAGGGGTTTTGTGCATTTCGCAAAATGATGTAAAGGCTCAACATTTGGAACGTGGGACGTGAAATGTGGAGGATTCCCATGATCTACGCAGAAGACAATAGATCGACAATAGAGCGTATTCCGAACCCTGGAACGAGACTTGGCTATTGGAGTCGACTATTGGCGACCATCAGGGGTTATCCGCACCATTTTACCGAGCTGCCTGCCTGCCTGCCAAACCACTAGCCTGGATCCAATAGTGTGTTCCGTTTAAGTGGTCACGGGGTAAAATGTGGCGTACAAAGTATTCTTTTCCTTTGTTCCAACCGTTATTCGAATGTTTTTGTTTATTCCCTTCGATCTACATACAACCATTCTTCTGCACAAGTCATCGGAGCAGACCGAAAAACCGCTCATTACGTACAGGTTGATCGGCATCCACTTCGGCCAATCGATCTCGGGGATCTCGATCTGAATGAAATTGCGCCCCCAGAGTTGTCATGACTGCTTGTTCCCGCCTCTGGGTCTAAGACGCGGCTGGTTTGCCAAAGTTAGTTTAGAGTGTCTTACCTCTTGATTTTTGACACCTGGGCATATCACTCCGTACTCTGTACCACCATGTTCGACATGGACCCGTACAATATTGGTCCCCGGTGTACAGCGCCTTCACTTATTCACAGCCAGTGTTAAGCCGTCAGCAAACGATCAGATTCATGTCTCGGTTGCTTCCGGAACAGCACATGCCAAAGGTTAAGTTTAGAGGAGCGAGCGCACATGCAAGTCGATCATTACCAGTTCCTGCCTTTGAACGTGCCGGTGTGAGGCCTACCATGGAAACGCATGTCACTGCCTTAAGGTCCAGGGGATTATCGTACACGGGATATTTGTGAGCACGAGTGGGGTAGACTTCATCTACAATACTGGAGCCTTCTGAATGACAAGATCTTGAGCTTCGCTCTGGTGCATTGGGCGAACGATCGATCGATTTTGTCGGTCTGGCCTCTCAGATGCGACCGGTTCCAGCTCGGGTACCTCGACTTGGTGCAACTCCGGTGGATACTCCATAGTTTCTCCTCGAGTGGACTCCACATTCTATAGCGCTGTACGATTAGGAAAGGCATCCCTGCATTATGGATAGGAGGGGATTGGTTCTCTGAATGAGTGGAGCATGCGGAGTAAATAATTCCAATTTAGTGACAAGGATGTGAGGAGGATTTCGTGGGAGGCGTCAATAGTGTAAATCCACGGAGAAAACGGAGAAAACCGCCACGTTCTTAACGTTCGAGAAGACTACTTTTTAGGTTGCAGATGCCTGGAGTAAGGGGTTAAATCTCCTAGAACAAGTACATCGTACTCCGTACATCAAGGATAATAGTGTATGCAAATGCATGTTATATAGCATGATATGTCTTATACACATACCTACAATATAAGTATACCTGGTAACCCCTGAGAGATTCAATCTAAGATAACCTTGGAACTCCATACAACTATTTCAAATATCTGTCGATCAGCTCTATGCCGTGCTCCACTTCAATTTAAATTGGGAATAAATGAAACACTGCTTCTCAACCTATGAGGATTTTGTTCGAGACATCTGTGGAGCTTCACCCCCCCTAAGCCCCGTGTGAACCCGTGGTCAGGAAAACCTTCTAAATTATTTGTTCACATACAAAAAAAACACTCCAACCCCAACTTGTCACGCATTTTGCTCGGATCTTTTATTTTGGCTGTACCCTTCCACAGTCCCAAGTCAACCCTTAAACGACACTTATTTATATTTTCAGGTACGTTGACAACCACGGCCAATTTCCCCTAACTTGCAGATTTAACTAATTTGGTGGACTAGATCGAGTTCAACAGAAGCCAGAGGATACTTGAACCACCTGGAACCCCGCTCAGGCCACACATTTTACGCACTCGGAGCCCATGAGCCCATCCATCATACGATTCCATGAGCAATTGAACTTGTCCTGCCTCTCCCACCATGGGACACCGAGAACTCACACCGGTCCATGTGCCGCTTCGAACATCGAGCCGCAGACCGGCCCATGACCCAATGAACACCCAGGAACAATCACGAGCAGACCGGCGAACCTCGAAAGCCCAAAGATTTTTCGGAACCGACATATCACTCCCCACGGAACATGGCGGGTGGCAGGAGCCTCCGAATGTACGCCGACCGAGCTTTGTTAAGCCAAATAATGCTCCTAGACAGAGCAGCGGCTTCGTTCCGTTTCCACGCTCTTCAGAGAATACCTTGATTCCCGATCAAAACCTTCGCGTACGGGCTTCGTCGCCTCTATTAGGCTATGACTACCGATCGCAGGAGGCCGCGCCGCCGCTTCCTAAGCCGTCGAAAAAGGTGCACCATTCCGGTTCCTCCTCCACCCTTTTCTCCTATTTCAGCTCGAAAGAATCGTCCAAATCACCCAAGAATCAACTCCAGCCTAGAGTACGACACGGACTTGGCAGTGAGCCACAAGTGACATATACGCAGACCCCAGATCCACCGAAGGAATCCAAGCGCAAGATGCGTCCTCCAAAAATTGATCTTTCCGTCTTGTTCCCGAAGCCACGGAATCCCGCACCACAAACACTTCTATCCCCGCACCGAATGGTCAACTCCCCCTCTCCCGTCTCTACAGTTGCACCAGAGTCTTCTTCCAACAAGATTGAAAGGATGACCGGCGGTACGAGAAACTCTACGAGGAGACATGTCGATCCACCTCCTCGCCGATCTTCGGTTACCAAGAATGACCCACACAAGCATGGCGTTGATAATTCGGATTTGCTTTCAATTGCGGAGAGCAAAAATAGCGAATGGTTGGAGCGACCACTCGAGCGAACAGTAGGAACGAGCGAGATTGATTTAGCCCTGGATAGATATGCAGGGCGGCGATCACTTTTCAGTCGCTCAAGCACGTATACTACCAGCCGAGAGCAATTGCAGCAAGAACAACAACGCCCCCAGGAATCTCGGAAGAGCTCGAGACGTGGTCACAGCCCCTCTCGACCTAAGGAGACGTACTTGAGTCCTACCTCATGTCCAGACCCAAAGCGTGGTCGCGGTTTAAGCACTTCCCAGGAGTCTTGGAAGACCACCGAGTCAAAATCCAAGAGCGAGAAGAGCTCGCTGTCCAAGAAGAGCAGCAAAAGTACCTTGAAAAACAAAGATCTGCGAAACACCAGTATGCTTTGCCTGTCCTCTTCTTCAGAGGACGAGGGTGATGAGGACCACACTCCAACCACCGAGTCAAAGCCCAATGCGAGCAAGTCCAGAAGAGACAGTGTGGCTACTTATGACGAATACGAGCCCCAGATCTATACGGCTTCCACTGCCCACGCGACCAGCGCCACGGCGGTAAGACGCTTTGACCGGGCACCCTCGACTAGCACCCGGGGGTCCCGCCAACCCGAAAAGAGCCAGCCGGTGCCGGCGGCTCGCCCGCGAAAGGTTTCTCAACCCTCGAGTGCCAAGTCTTCCCAGATAACTGGACGAACTACGCAGACTCCCCGTTCGAGTGGAGTTCCCACTATCCCGGATGAGATCCTGGCGCAATTCCCGCAGCAGCCTCTCCGATCCCCCGCAGAGCTGAAAGAGTTGAACCGGAGGAGTCGTGTGATCGCGGTGACCCGCCAAGAGCAAGATCTCCTGGAGGCGATGCGTATTCGAAAGGGCAAGGTCACACCCAGTTTGTTCAATGCTCACGGAGCGGACCGAAGATCACTAGCTTCTGGCCCATCCCGCGATTCATTCTGCGGATCCGACACCTCATTCTTGCGTCTCAGCAATGTTTTCCCGCCGTTCGACGTCCGATCAGAAAAGGGTGCTACCCAATACAAAGATGGAACGCCTTCCCAAAGCTCGGGTTCGGATAGTGAACCGAAGCCCCGCACTGCACTCTCCTCTTCTAGTGTCAGTGGGGACTATTCTGAGAGCTTGCCCTCCCCTGCCACCAGCGGTGCTTCGCCGCTGACACCCACTTTGCCAATTCATCGTTTCTCGCCGCTTCCTTCTCCGAAGCCACCCCCAAGAGGGCCCCCGCCTGCCATCCCCGAAGACCAGAAGCAGCACACCCGCCGTCGCACAGATAGCAGCGAGGCTATCCTGCTCGATGATGGCGGCGAGTTAAAACGCAACAACGGTATTCCTCTCTGGTCTTTCGACTTTGATTGGAAGCAAGAAAGCGCCAATATCGCTTCTGTGCACTGATCGCTTGGTCCTTGATACCCAACACTCTCACTCCACCCCTTACATTTCCTATTCTACTCTTCTCTCTCTCTCTGTATTCCTACATGATTTGATCCTCTGCGGTCTTTCCCACATTTCCTTGACTTCATTGCATCTTGCAGCACTTTGCTCCAAGCTTTTGTCTACCCAACCACATGGACCCCACTTGTCCCTTTCCTACATGGCCGACCATCTTGCTTATCCCTTCTCACCTTTTCCTTATTACTTTTTGAATTAGCGTTCACGCGCGGGCTTCTATACCTGCTATCATGTATTACTTGGGTGGTTTTCGTCCCTTTCTCTCACGATTTCATTATTTCCGGCTCACGACTGTTGCCATTAATATTCTCAATGATCATCAATTCATCAGACTTGTGCAATGGTCTTACTTCTTGATTCTCCACATAGTTCATGTCCCACAGTGCGGTCCAGCTTAGCCTGAGTGGTATATCGCAGTGCATAGTGCATAGCGACCACGGGGGACTTTGGCCCTATTGGCTTTCAGGATCATATATCTCCCTTCGAAATAATTCCCGACACTGTAGAGTACTTCAAATTGTTACATCAAGCTCTTAATCATCTGTAGTAAGCTGTCATTTATATAAGAGCAAAATGTTACTTCGCGATATGAAAATCTGAACATGTAGTTCATTCGAAGTGTCCTTTTTTTAACGATTTTTTTGGATATCTCTATATATTTCTAGGTTTTCTCTCAAGATGCCTTAAAATATCTAGAATAGTACGATGTCGATGAATGACGACATGCGAAGAATAAGAATGGGGGCTGTGGATGGGCTGGTGGAGATGCCCTGGACAGCCCGACGTCATCGATTAACAATTCTCACGGTGAAGTGGCTGGTCAAAATTGAGTAAACATTGTAAATATGATATGACATTCCCACAAACAAAGTACGCAACAATATTTGTACTCCGTACGCACCACTTACCTATTGCAGAGACAACTCCAGCGCTTGAACCTCTCCAGGGCTGGCCTGTTGACTCTCCGTGATCCACTGTCTGACCGCCGACCTTCCAAGGTTCCCGTCTATAACCCCGGATTATTGCTTCTTGAGCACTCTAATCTCCCTTTCCTTTCCCTTTTCAAGTCCTTTTCAAGTTCGTCGAATTGCCCTCCTTCCTACAGTGGAGTTAGCCGACGCTCATCCTCTCCTTCGTCTCCCAGCCACCCACATCGCCTCCGATCGCCTCGGGAAACCCTATCGGGACCTAAAAAGGAAGATCGCCAGAATAACCCACCCCTGGTTCAGTTCGCGAATCGGGACTTGCACTTCGCTCTACATCGGACACACTTTTCTTGTCGCTCCCTCTACTGAGGCCATTCACCACATTCACCGGACTGGGGATTGCACTGCGTACCCCTTTTGCGGAAACGTTAGCCACTGTCTAGGAGGAACACGCGACCTGCTACTTCGTTAGTTATGGGAGATCGCGCTCAACGCCAGCCGTCTGGACTGCGAGCCGCGGCCAATATTGCGCCATGGATTCTGGTATGAGCTTGTTGGGAATTCCACGGCCTTTGCGGCCTTGAGGACTGTTCGCTGACTCGCTTTGTTTCTTTCTAGTTGACTGCGGAGTCGACTGCGTTTGTGTTGGTAAGTCATCCTACGCGACGTGCAAATGCTTCGACAGGAATAGAATGGAAGGCTAATCTGTATTTTTACACTACCTCAGCTAGCTCATTATTCTCGAGTCATGCCCCCCGCCGGTGGTAAACGCTACCTGACCTCTACGGCGGTCTTTCTGGTCGAAGTGGTCAAGCTGGCCATCTCCCTCACAATGGCGCTCTATGACGTCTCAAAAACCGCACCCCCCTCGATGCCCGCCACCTCCCTCTTTTTCTCCCTCACAGGCGCCGTGTTCTCAGGCGACAGCTGGAAACTCGCTATCCCTGCCGGGCTCGACGTCTTGTCCAACTCCCTCCTGTTCATTGCGCTCTCGAACCTACGAGCTGCCTCGTTTCAGATTACGTTCCAGCTGAAGTTTCTTACAACTGCGGTCTTTGGTCTAATGCTCCTGAAACGGAGCATCCCTCCCCGCAAGTGGGGCCTGCTTTTGCTTCTCATTGTGGGCGTGGCATTGGTGCAAATCCCCGACGCTAGCCCCGAGCAGATGCTGCAGGATGATCATGCTGGCCATCATTTCCCTCGATCCTTGGAGGAGTGGAAGGCTGTTAAGCAAGGTGCTGGTGCTGGTAGCAGTTTGCAAAAGCGGTCTGCAACATACGAGGGTATCGAAGAGGACATCCTGACGGCTGACCCACACTTGAACCCGGCAATTGGTCTCCTTGCGACCATCGGAGCGTCTTTGGCTTCCGGACTTGCGGGTATTTATTTTGAGAAGGTCCTAAAGGACAGCTCGAACCATATCTCGTTGTGGGTCCGCAATGTGCAATTAGCTGTCTACTCCATTTTCCCGGCTCTCTTCATTGGAATTGTCTTCCGGGATGCTGAAAAAATTGCTGAAGATGGCTTCTTCCAGGGCTACAATTGGGCGGTGTGGTCTACTATCATGATACAGGCCTTGGGTGGTATCGTTTCTGCATTCTACGTCAGTCACGCGCAGAAGGATGCAAGGAGTTTGGCCACAACTGCCAACATAATTTTGAGCATTGTTGGAAGCATCTGGCTATTTGACTTTGAGGTCACTGCAAGCGTACGTCCCTTGCCTTGTTAACACTTCCTAGCGTCTGCTCTAGCTCCCTGCCCTCCACATGAGCATTACGAACAAGACTGACTGGGATGTTGTAGTTCTTCCTAGGCTCGGCTGCAGTCCTGATAGCAACCCACTACTATGGAAACCCCACCTTCAACCCTGCGATGGGTGCCTCGCGTCCACCTCCAATCCGCATCGACGCCTACGAGAAGGACCCTGCAGGTCCCGAGGGCTCCCCGGTGGCGCCTTCCAACGACTTTTCTATCAAACTTCCAACCTCACCTTTCCTCTCTGACGGCATGTCCTCGTCCCGTCCCACCTCACCAGCACCAGGTCACACTAGAGTAAGCTCTAGCCGCAATGCAAGCGCGAGCTATTTCGATGAGAAATGATTGCTGTGACTCGCTATGCACATTGATATTGGCCTACGTGACGAGATGTTTCTTTACGGGAAATGATATTGGATACCTGATAGATGCGGATTCTAGTGCGGTTTTCAAGAAAGCCGCTCGCTACGAGCCTTTTTGCTATCCTTGATGCCGCTCCTAATTGGAGCTAGCTACTCTTCGCTGCCCAATTTGCATGTCCTCTTACTGTCAAGATATTGCCGGGTTTGGCTCATGTATGCATATATACGAAGCAATGAAACACCTTGATATACCCCAGAATACTTCACAATCCATATTCTTACTGATTCTGAAAAGACACCGCTGCAGTATCGTCATATACCATGTACAAAGGTATGGGGTGATCCACGTGCCGTCACGTTATCGGGATCATGGGCCTTGGGACCAGCCCTGGAGTCACTTTGGAAATTCATCACTACAAACCCCAGATTTCATCCCAATCATCGAGAACGTATTTCAAAATGCGGAGGAACCATCAGACCTCCAGCTTTAAACCCTTTCAATTGCCCACACAGAGGCACACATATGCTCCCTCCCCGTCCAAGAGTAGTAGAACCGGTATCATCGACCAGAGACTCATCCAAGGCTCCCAGCAGCCACATTACAGCAGCTCATCTCCCCGAAAGCCTTTTAATGGCTTGGCATCATCAACTCACGATGAGGACCCTCAATTGGATGCTTTTGGTGAGTCTGCCAGTTTATAATCATGGCGGGTGCTGATGGAAGCTAGACCTGGAACTACTAGCCTCAGAGGATAGAGAAGAGGCAATTCCAGATTCAGGATTTGGAATTCCTACATCTACGCCGCTTCGAGCGTCTCGTCAGCCTGATCTACATCCACCACAATTCGCTCGTTTCTTTCAGCGTAAGTTGCTTGTATACGAGTGCTGGTGGGTTTGTCTTGTTGGAGCAGGATTGACGAGTAATAGCCAGCTCAACTATCGGTTCATCGGACCCTTTACTAGGGCCTCCATCGAGCCCGTTGGCTTTGTTCCGTCAGAAGAAGGACGGGATACGGATGGGACAGCGCAGCCTCGAGACGAATCCTGGCCCATACTGTGATGAGCCTAGTCAGTCCTCACCTCAGGAACCGATCGCTCAAGCGAGCCCAGAGACTTTGACTGGCAATAGACAACATCGGAACCCTTTTAGCAATATCCCACCCTCTGTGCGGGGGATCGTCCTCGTATCAGTAAATGACCTACCGGAGAACTACCGCTCGATATTTCCCTTCCCACTTTTCAATGCCGTTCAATCAAAATCATTCCACTCCGTCTACAACAGCACAGACAACATCGTCCTGTCCGCGCCAACCGGCAGCGGCAAGACAGTCGTGATGGAATTGGCAATCTGCAGGCTCCTGAACACTCTCAAAGACGAACGCTTTAAAGTAGTCTACCAGGCACCCACCAAGTCACTCTGTAGCGAGCGCTTCCGAGACTGGAACTCCAAGTTCTCCAGCCTGAATCTCAAGTGCGCGGAACTGACCGGAGACACGGACCACATGCAGCTACGCAATGTTCAGGGCAGCCAGATTATCATCACGACGCCCGAGAAGTGGGATAGCATGACTCGGAAATGGAAAGATCATATGAAGTTGATGCAGCTCGTGAAGCTCTTTCTCATTGATGAGGTGCATATTCTGAAGGAGGCGCGTGGAGCTACGCTTGAGGCTGTGGTTTCACGTATGAAAAATATCGGTTCGAATGTGCGATTTGTGGCGCTGAGTGCTACTATTCCCAACTCCGAGGATATTGCTACCTGGCTTGGGAAGGATGCGACGAACCAGCACGTTCCTGCACACCGAGAACATTTCGGCGAGGAGTTCCGTCCTGTCATATTGAAGAAGGTTGTCTATGGGTATGCGTCTAGCTTGAACGACTTTGCATTTGATAAAGTCTGCGGTTCAAAGTATGTGGTTCCTTGTCGGGGTCTTCTTGGATATCTTTCTGTTTCTGTCCCTTCTTTCATTTTGAGTCACTGGTTTGGCATACTAATTGGTGCTTGAAAAGGCTACCCGAAGTGATCGAAAAGCATTCAAGCAAGAAGCCCATCTTGATATTCTGTTGCACACGGAATTCATCGCTCGCAACGGCGAAAGAATTGGCGCGGCTTTTCTCATTGACAAATCCGCCCTCCAGGCTTTGGAAGGAACCTAAGAAGCGCCTCGAAGCTCATAACGAGGATCTCAAGGGTATGTATCTGAGCTCCTTTTAGACTCACACTGCTAATTAGAGATAGCAACGCTCGTTGCTGGCATAGCATTCCATCACGCTGGGTTGGGCCCCGCTGATCGTCACACTGTTGAGACAGGCTTCAGAGAAGGACATATAAGCGTCATATGCTGCACGTCTACACTTGCAGTTGGAATAAACCTGCCTTGCCACCTCGTCATAATCAAAAATACTGTCAGTTGGCAAGATGGAGGCTGCAAGGAGTACTCGGACTTGGAGATGATGCAGATGCTCGGCCGCGCGGGCCGACCTCAGTTCGACGATAGTGCAACAGCAGTTATCCTCACCAGAAAGGAACGGGTCGCCCACTACGAGAGATTGGTTCAGGGCTCTGAGAGTCTGGAGAGTTGTTTGCATTTGAATCTGATTGATCATCTTAATGCTGAGATCGGCCTGGGCAGTATCTTGGACGTTGAATCGGCTGTCAAATGGCTTGCTGGTACATTCTTGTTTGTGAGACTGCGTCGAAATCCGACGCACTACAAGCTCAAAGAAGGTGCAAACCAGGAAGATGAAGATGAATTGCTTCGCCAGATCTGTGAGAAGGATATCGATCTTCTTCGAAAATGCGGTCTGGTTGAAGCCGAGAGCCTTTGTTCGACCCAGTTTGGCGACGCTATGGCTCGGTACTACATCCGATTCGAGACTATGAAAGTGCTACTTTCGCTGAAGCCGAAAGCAACGTTGTCTGAAACAGTGGGTCTATTCTTTCCACTTTGTTGAAATGAAGGACTTCAATTGACATTACGGTTCCAGCTTAACGTGATCGCACAAGCCGAAGAATTCCGCGAGATCCGCCTCAAAGCCGGTGAGAAACTACTATACCGAGAGATAAATCGTGACTCAGGCATTCGCTTCCCCATCAAAGTCGATCTAGCCCTCCAGGCCCATAAGATTTCACTACTCCTTCAATCCGAGCTAGGGGCAATTGAGTATCCCGACAACGAGCCACTCCAAAAACACAAATTCACCTTTCAGCAAGACAAAGGTCTAGTCTTCTCGCATGTCAATCGACTGATCCGCTGTCTGATCGACTGCCAAATTGCCCGCGGTGACTCAATCGCGATCCGCAATGCCCTTGAACTCGCCCGGAGCTTCGGAGCAAAGGTCTGGGACCACTCGCCTCTCCAGATGAAGCAGATCGAGCAAGTGGGTGTGGTTGCAGTTCGGAAGTTGGCTGCTGCTGGTATTACCAGTATTGAAGGGCTGGAATGTGCGGAGGCTCATCAGATTGAGATGGTTCTTAGCAAGAATCCACCTTTCGGGTCGAAGTTGCTCTCGAGATTGAAGGAGTTTCCGAAACTGAGGGTTTCTGTGAAGATGCTTGGAAAGGTTTGCAATTAGTTATGATGATAAATGTTATTTCGCTAACATGTGATACAGGAAGTGAAAATCAACTGTGTCAATGTCCGATTCAAGGTTGAAGTCGCGTTCATGAACGACAAGATCCCGACGTACTTCCAACGTCGCCCTGTTCATGTGTGTTGCTTGATAGAGAGGTCCGATGGCCATCTGATCGATTTCAGACGCGCAAGGTGAGATGCACATCTAGTTATTTCGTTATAGAAAATGCTGATGCCCTTCCAGTGCGACCCAGCTCCAAGAGAGATTGGAAATTGAACTCACCGCGGACTTGACGAGCGCGGACCATGTCATTGCGTGCCACGTCATGTGCGATGAAATCGGTAAGACTTTGAACGCGAACAAAAGCGGTTGGATCACTTATGGTCATACTGACAATTTTCCAGCGGGGACGTGGAGACAAGCTGAGCTCAGACCTAACCTGCCATCTCACCTATTTGCTGCTATGCGAGCTAAGGATACCGGTGCCCAAAATACTGGAAAATCGAACCTACAATCTCGACAAGTCAAGTGGAATTTGAATTCTATAGACCCAGAGAAACCGAAAACCAATGCATTTCGTCCCCACGAACGAGATATGACTAGTATCAAGGCCAAGCCTCGGCGGGACGTGGACGATTTTGATGGTGATGACTTGCAGCTCGATGATTTCCTCGTCGCGAATGAACGCCGTGGAAAAACAAAGGAATCTACAAAGCCACAATCTCGGCAGTTTGATGATATAGACTGGTTTTCAATCGACGCAACACCACCTAGTCCAGCCAAGGCAGCGCCGAAGTTCTCAAACCCCCGAGAAGATGACTGGGCGATAGATATAGACGAGCCAGAGGAAGAGTACGAGCCAGTCAGACTTGCGAATGGCAAATGGGCTTGCAACCACAAATGCAAAGATAAAACAAGGTTTGAGAACACCATTACCCTCTTTACTATCGATCTAATAATTCCAGCTGCAAACATTTCTGCTGTCGCGAGGGCTTGGAAAAACCCCCGAAGCCACCGAAGCGGACCATGCCCACGACTCAAAAGGAAGGTAGTCTCAATCAACTGACCATCTCCGCCAGTATCACGAAGGCAACTTCAACCAATAACTCGAGCTCAGGAAACCAAGTGCCCAAACCACGCGTCACGGGACCTAAGAATGACGACCCTGTTTCAAAGGTGAAGAAGATATCGACGTCGCACGCTGGAAAAAAGAACCCAGGTCGAGAGAAAACTGTCCTTTCGGAGAGGGACAAGAACATTCCTTCATATAAGAGAAAGAGGGAAAACAGTCCAACGAAACCCCTCTCCAGTGATTATGGCGATGAAAATTTTGATGATTTACCATCTCCATCACGTCTTCTCGGGAACAGGAAATCGGGGTTTGCCGCATCGGTCTCTCCAGTGGTGGGTGACCGGGCGAAGAATAGCATAACGGATGTTGCTGTTAAGGAAATCAAGCATACAGAGCCCGACCTCTCGCCCTCTGCTTCGCTGTCCGGTCTTCCCCAAAAAGACCAACACGAGATTATCGAGATCCCGGACGACACACCACCAGACTCAGCGGAATTGCCAATGGCAACAGACAAAAAGCCTCCTGTAAAACAGAGCACAGTGCTACCCCTAATAGTAGATAAACTCAACCTGAAACGGAAGGCGAGTGAAGACGAAACGCGAACGGAAGAGGACAAAAAACGGGTGAAGCAAAGTCCTTTTGTTTCTGCTTTACAGGTCCACGCTTGCGACCTTCTGAACGATGAACAACCACTGAGCCCTGAGCAGCCTGCGTCTCCTGTTTCTCCCGCGGCTGTTTCTCCTATGGTCGGCGGTCGGATGGATTTGACTGCAGCATGGGACGACGATGGAATCGACCTGCTTGATGAGTTCAAGGATATTATTAAAATTATTTAAACGTCTGAGAGTTTCCGGTCAAGTGGTGGTCTTTCTTTTTCCATGCACCTCTAGAATTTCTTTTGCGTGGTGGTGTGGTGCTGGACTACTGCGAACTGGTGCGAGTTGCGGCTTGTCTTACTTCTATATAGAATATTGGGGACCATGCTATATTGAAATTTAGAATTGTCAGCATGAAATAATCATGAAAGAATTCCTTTGCTTTGATATTCTTCGATGTCTCCCAAGTATGGCCCCAAAAGACCGGGCACATTGGACCATTGTTGACTTCGGACATCCATACCAATCAATGGTCTCAAGTTCCTTTTGTCCTTACGAAAAGGACATTAAAAAAGACATTAAGAAGGACACCGAAAAAGAAATCAAGAAAGACAACTAAAAAGACATCGGAGTGTTATCTTACAACATACATATAGGCAGTTCTCTACTCGATGCTCGCTCTTTCCCTATAAATTGTTGACAGGATGTTCCCCGTGACTTCCCCCCTCATCATCACCCTACGCCATTAGACTCTACTGCTCCAACTCCATACTCTTTGATCAGTTGATGCCGCATCCAAGGTGCAGTCACCGTTCCTCCGGACTGCGGAAAATCGATCCCTGGGGACCACGTCACCCTTGACCAAGAGCTATGGATAAACAGAAAGGACAGTTGTGCTAAAATCGAAAAATGCCAGACTCTCCCATCTAAGGCTTGAGCTTTTCAAATCATATCACCAAAGTTGCTCAAGCCAATATAGCCAACACTACTACATCCGAAGCCAATTGTGCCACAGCCAACATTATCTCGACCAAAGGAGATTTATTTCTTTTGGGCATTACAGGATGCCCACAATGGCCCATGATGTTTTCTGGCTTGGATATGCGTGCTGTACTCAGTACTCCTTTTGGTCACGTACTTTTTCCTGACCACGCTGCGCCGGACCGACGCGGATCGACCGGTAACTTGGTTCCTTTCGCTTGTTCTGGGCGTGGGATAAAAATTACTCTGGGCATGTCGCGCTCGTGAACATTTCTGACCAAGTCTAGAGAATACGTCGCCCCAAGGGTTGTACCCATCGCGGTCCTAATGGCACCAGCTGCTGCCTCTGTTGTTGTCCCTCCCCTCCTCCCCTCTTCCACCAACTCCCTCGAGACCCCGAGGGGAGAGGCCCAATCGTCTTTGGACGAGGACAAGGGCCCCTCGGGATCCGAAACGGATGGGAGCCCCATCGAGGGCCAGGAGAATCCCGTCGACCCCTTCCGATCCCGCACAAGCTCCACCTGCTCCCTGCCAGACACTCCGAATACCCCGGCATCTGGAAAGCGAATGCATCAAACGCCAGCCTCCAAGTGATAGTGGAGATGGAGGACCATAGAAGGATGTTGGCCAAAGTCTCTTGGCTTTTCGGACCATGGAAAAGACGCCCGTATACGAGGGGGTTACCGAGTAGGTAAAGAGGACCCTATCTTGAAGAAATACTGGGGCCAGCTGGAGATCGAGTTTTCAGACGTCGTTGGGAGGGACAAGAAAGATGGGGAGGGCAACTTCGTTCTAAACGCCAGTTATGATTCAATTACATACATATTCGTTCTTCCCACAGATGTATTTTATTCATAGAGGCGCTGTAATTATTGTAAAAAAAATCCAGAATACCATGTTCATCTGAATACTGTAGTTCCACTATGGCAACGTATCTTAACCCAGCACGCGAGAGGCACACATCGCCACATAACTATCTTTACGGTGGTTATAGGTATTTCACCCCTGATATCCCATATTGGGCTCCATATCCTTCGAGGCACGAACCTCTTTATATCGCCGAGATATATCGGCGATCATTCCCTGAATCTTCTTCGCTGCCACAAACTTTAGTCCGAGGGTCTCGAAAAGCTGTGTTACGAGGTCGAGGTCGGCGATAGCTCGCGTGTCTCTCAAGACTGCGCTGAGGTCATCAGGTTGAGCCGTGATTGCATAGACTAGTGATAGAGTCGCCGTGAAGAGGGCTAGGAAATTCAACCAGTTGTAGGCAAATCGTTGTTGCTGATGCATGCTGAATGCTTGGCGAAGTGACATTGACGCTGCCGTCTCCAGCATCTTGATCCGCTTTAGGTCTGAAACGGGGAATAGCGGAGATGGTCTGTAGATCATGGCGAGGTGGGTATAGTAGTTGAAGTCGTACCACGTTGTGTTGAGATGTGGCACTCTATCGTGTACGTCGGGGAGCGGAAAGGGCATGCTCCGGCGCCAGTCGAGCAGTTCTTGGTGTAATGAAACTATTATTGCCTCACGTTCTTGTAAAGTCAAGTTTGAGTTCTTAGAATTCCCGTAGACTTGCCGCGAAATCTTGCCCGCGATTCTTCGCAGCGACAGAATGTGCAGCGGAACGGCCATCAGGGATGGCTGAAGGGGGTTTTGGGGGCTCATGGAGTCCGCGCGTATAAACTCTTCATCGGCATTTTCAAATGGCTGTCACTTAGTTAGATAGTTTTGAAGAAAGCAATTTGTAGCTCATTATACAAAGATCGGACTCACCGTTACATCTATATCGTCATCATGAAGTGCGAACGGTCGGCCCAAAGTAATAGAAACAACGCTGAGTGTTGCTATTAGCCGCCCAAATCTGGACACGAAGAAAAGGGAAGAAGAGCAGAAGAAGTGGCGGTAAGAACCTACCGATCCATCATATATATTGAAAAAAAGATGCGCTTGCGTCTTTGTTGCACATCAAAAGGGAATCTATGATATGAGGAGGCCGCGTGGAGCCCCATTCCTAAAGCCAGACGGGCAGCTGTGCCAACAAGGAACCATGTGTCCACTTCCGTCAGCGTTTGGGATATCGTCAGTCAACTACCTGTCACTCACTAGGACCTAGCCGGTTGAAAAAGGAATAAGAGACTTGGAGCATTATGGCCTCCAAGGCAGACTAGGCTCTCGTCAGTTGCGTTTTCGTGGACGAAGTTATAGAGAGGTGTTTCTACCATCTCGTCGCCTCCCAAAGCTTGCTCGGAATACTGCAGGGCGTTGTTGTAGAACATCATTGATTCCGACTCCTCAGCCAGAGTGACGGAAGAGTAAGCGGTGGAGCCAATGGCTAGGACCATCCAGATTCTGAAGACGTCGAGGGGAGATAGTGTGGCCAAGCTCTGAGGATTTTGATGGATCCTTTCGAACGTGTCCATGACCTCGGACCGCTTCAGAATGGGATACAGGGTATGGGAGTGAGCAAAATAGAAATCCACCAGCCGCCGAACATATGTCTCATCGGTTGGCCAGACCAGAGAGTCAAGAGTGGCTCCGGACCCGGCAAATTCGGCGAGGAAGAGGTCACCAAACAGTAGGGGATGGATGGAGATGGATTCACTTAAGCTCTGGAAGAAAGAGTCATTGAAGGGCTCTGAGGAGAAGCTGGGGTCCGAGAGATTGTTTCCCGTAGTGTCGTCTTGATGGCTGTCGAATACAAAGTCCGCCTTGTCTGGCGTCAAACGACGTAGGACCATCTGGGTCAGCTCTGCAAATGATAGGCCCGTGGTCGATCCCAAGTGTCGTTCTGCAATAGCTTCTAATGAGAGTGCTGTTAGTTGCTGGCCAAATGTCGAGGTCTGGTTTGACGCGGGCCGTGAGCTGACAAGAGGGTCTTGTATCGGGGCGGCGTTCTCGGCAATAGTGGGTGCGTTTGCTACTTCGCTTCCGTGAATGCCTTGGGAGCTACATTCTTGGTCCACCGTTGCTGTCTCTAGCGCCCCAAAGTCACTATAGGGGTGACTGTTGTTCAAGACAGCCGTGCTCTCTGCGGCGTTGGGCGCGTTCTGCTCTTCAACAGCCGCAGCCCTATTTAGACGGCGAAGCTTTTCCTCCAGGCCCTGGACATACCTGTGAGCATGTTAGCAGCCTACTTCAAACTACTCGACGGAAGATGGGCGGCTGTGCAGAGCTATGTATGAGAGACCGAGAGAGACTCGTCTCATCCAGTCCCTCACTCGCATGCGGCGACTCACACTATGGGGTACGAAGCGGTTTGGAGATCATCGTCTTCGAAGCTACATCTCATCCGCGCCGACACACAATTCCTGCATGACGGCAACAATCTGTCGCACCTCTTCTTCCTCCTGTGGCAGCGCGAGCACGACACTCGAGCCTTTGCTGGGACCGAAGATGGGGTTGCCGGTGCAGCTCCTGCAGCGTTGTTGGGCATTGGGGAAGAGAAAATTCGCAGAGATGTGAGTGTGCTGGAGCAAGGGGAAGACACTCTGCGGCTATCTTTCAGCATTTTCTTATCGCCCGTCCTAGCTGTAGGATCTTCGGAACTTCAGTTGGAATTCTTTGTCCTTATCTCGTTCTAAGACTCCTTTCCCCGCATTCACGGGTCAATCCCATCCATAGCCGGGGACCGGGAACCTTCCGACACATAAGAAAGGCCATTGACTGAGATGATTGTAACTTACGGGCCTTGGTCGCAGGCGTCTGCATTGTCTACTAGTTTCTTCCCTGTCTGACCTCAATACCCGAAGGTTGGATGACGGACCGGGTACAGGTATCCATTTTCTCGGCTCGATGATAAGAACTCATTATCATCTCGATCAAGGCAATCATTGCGTTATGGCTATCTGAAGAGGAGATACCCAGGAGAGGACTGATCTTCGAATGCGACCATTAAAGTCGAGTCACCACTCACATGGTTATTTAAGCTCCGACAGCGGAGCCTTTAGTTCTCAGACATATCCCAAACGTGGGTACAAGATAAGCAACACGGCATTGTGGACTCGGTACGAAATGTTACAGCTTGGAGTTGAGGCAAATTTGTCCTCTTTGTATTTATTCTAGATATCGACGACTGCAACGGCCTTGACCTCGACAATCATTCGGGGGTCAGGGAGCTCCCTCACGCCAATGGTGGCCCTAGCCGGTGCACTATCTCGGGACTTAAAGACCTTGTTCCACTCCTCGTTCATGCCAGCGTACTGGCTTTCCATGTCCAGGATGTACACGACAGCGTCAATCAGGTTGTGAATGCCGCCCTTGCCATCTGTAGCGCCCTTGATTATGTTGTCGACATTCTCGAGGACCGCCGCCGTTTGCTTGCGAATGTCGGCCGTGAACGTTCCGTCTGAGTTCTCAGTGACGCCAGGCCAGGTGCCATCGGGGCGGCAGCACGCCGTGCCGGAGACGTAGATGGTGCAGTGGTTGGAAAGGGGTGGGAGGCGAGCCTGTGGGAATCTGGTGACACCCTCAGGAGCATCAGGCTTGATTAGGTACGCTTGTCCATTGGGAGACATCGTGACCAAGTGTAGCTGGCTGGCTTGTAGGTTGCGGTGGTTGTTGGGGAAAAGATAATGGTGATGATAGCGTTTGATAACCAACCTCGGAAGGCATGTTTGATGGGTTTCTTTAATATTTTTAAAGCTGCCCCAGTCTCCTTGTCTTCTCATACTCGTGATTGAACTATCCACATCGAGTTTCCTCTTCATGCTTAGCCGTCGGAGATGGTGCAGCCGATGTGCTTAGTGTCGGGGCGTCCGACTCGCTTCGACCAGTGACCCTTGTCGGATTGCCCGAAAACATTACGCGATATCCAATCTCTTGGCCCATTCTACATCTACTCTCACTCTATCGGCCGACATCGAGCTGTTACATCCATGTATACTTTGTGGTCCTTTGTCATTCCATTTCAAACAACCTTAGACCTGGAGGTTTGACCCTTACAGCACACAGCAAGAATTTTAACTGTACGCGGTCGCCCAGACCGTTCTAAGCTGTGAACTTTCTTATATCAATTGTGGCCGCGAAAGAACTAGATCCGAGCCGACATCGACGAAGCCGGGGGGAGAAGTCACCGAAAAGGAAAAGGAAGAAGGGACCGGGATATAACTCATTACTGGCCATGGCTCAGCTACTTGTTTTTACGCTTTGTGGTTCGTATCAAGTGACAGCCCACTGGAAAAATATCCGATCGGATGTTCCGACAGACCACATCCTGGGGCGAAGCTGTGAAACCGAACTATATAAGCTCATTTACAAGTACAACGGAAAACGATCTACGCCACGTCGAGCCATTATGGCAGGACCTACAGCCCAGCAATATCGAATCGGCGACTTCACTTTCAAGGATGGGACCGGTCCGACGTCGATCCAGCTAGCCTACCTCGACATTAATCCAACTGCAGACAAGGTAGCCCTTATTCCGACCTGTTTCCGTGGCCGGCTTGCGTCAACCCTGACCTTTAGCCATGGCGCCCTCAAACACCACAGGGTCATTGTGGTTGCTTTGTTTGGAAATGGCGAGTCCTCGAGTCCATCTAATATGACCAACTTCCCTCTATCGCTGAACTACCAAGACTGCGTTCGTGCTCAGCATCAGTTGATAAAATCGTATCTGAACATCCAAGCTATTGATGTGGTGGTTGGTTTCTCCATGGGTGGACAGTGTTCTTACTACTGGACCCTGATGTACCCTGAGCTGGTCCGGAACGCGGTCATAATCTGCTCCTCGGCTCGTACCAGCCGTCACAACTACCAGTTTCTCGAGGGGCCAAAGGCTGCGCTGGAGTACTCCGCCGACTATATAAAGGGAGAAAACAACGAAATCTCTTCAAAGCCATTAGGCGGCCTGCGGGCTTTTGGCAAAGCATACTCTGCTTGGTTGACAAGCCCCGAGTGGTTTGAGAAGGAGATGTACAAGTCCATGGGATACGAGACGTTGAGCGGTTGGGACAGGGATGCAGCTGGGAAAAACTACTACAATTGGCACCCTGACGACTTGCTCGCCATGGTAGGCATGTGGCAGAGAGGCGATGTCACTTCGATCTCGGGAGACGCATCTTTACAAAAAGCACTGTCACGGATCCAAGCATGTGTCCTGGTTATGCCGTGTTCAACAGACCAGTACTTTCGCTGGGAGGCATCTGAGAAGGAGGCACGTGCAACTCCTCGTTCAACGTTCAAGGTTATACCCTCTGCATGGGGGCATTCGGCTGGATTTGGTTATAGCGTGGAGGACAAAGCTTTTATGGATCAGGCGATAGCTGAGTTTTTGAGGAAGCAGTGAAATAAGAAACACTTGGAGCATATGTCCCCGGTATGAGTTTGAAAAAGTATCATTTAAGTATGTAGACTAGGACAGACTAAGATAGTTGATCACAAGACATCATTTGCTGCCATTTACCGTGCTCTGAAATATCTCTCGCCCCCGTTCGAACAAAGCCGCAGCTTCAATGAGCTGTTCGTCGGCCCAACGACTTGCAACAATCTGCATACCCACGGGCAGCGGGACATCTGGATGGCCTTTGGCAGTGGAGAAGCCACAAGGCACATTCAACCCCGGGTGGCCAGTAATATTGAAGGGACAAGTATTGCTGGTCAAGCCAACAGCGACGCCAAGTCTATCTAGGATCGAGGCCGTTCTGCCGTCGGGACCGTTCGGATCCGGGTGAGGCATCGCAACTGTAGGCGCACAAGGCGTGACGAGAATGTCAACGTGCTCCAGAGCAGAATCGTAGGCAGCTCTGAGCGCAAAGACCAAGCGATGGGCCTTGGCCTCCAGCCCTGCCTTGCACGACTCCCTAGCGAACTTGTCACTCAGCATGATGTTGACTACAGCCGGGTTGTTGCACGTCAGCGTGTCGTATGTCTCCTGGGACGGAGGCCATTTGATCTGCGTATGCGGTGAAAGGAAAGACAGATAACCAGAAGGGTTTCCCTCGCACAGATAACTGCACATGGATGGCCGGGTTGCTGCTGTCCAGATTGCCGGGCTTTGTCGATGCATTGGAATGGATACCTCAACGACAGAGGCCCCGATAGCTTTGAAGCATCGTGTTGCTGCTTGGTAGACGATGTCTCGAATGTCGGCAGCAACCCCGGGCATGTGGAAGGATTCCTTCAGAAGGCCAACCCTCAGCTTGTGACCAGGTCTCGATGTAGACTGAATCTCTTGTCTCGCCTGGAGCAGCAGTTTCAGGTAAGGCTTCACTTGATGTATCAAGGGAGTTTCAGGGGTCATCCGAGGGTCGTAGCCGTCGTAGCCTGCCATGACCTCCAACAGCGCGGCGACATCTTCAAGCTCGGCCGCCAACGGGCCCAGGTGGTCGATCATGGGCGACATGGACCCCGCACCAGTGTAGGGAACTAGACCAAAGGTGGGTTTCAACCCGTAGAGACCATTGTAAGAGGCTGGGATTCGCACCGACCCAGCCTGGTCGGTGCCGATAGACAACTCCACAGTTTGGCCCATTGACGAGTCGCTCCTTTTTGATGCTAGGCGATGAGCCGCAACCAGAACTGCAGAGCCACTGCTGCTTCCACCAGCGGTGTAGTTGTGCAAGAGCGGATTATGAACTGGCCCTGTCGCCGAGGTGAAGGACAGGGGAGACGCACAAAAGCTTTCGCAAGTCGACGCCCCTTTGATAATGCCACCGGCTTTGAGAATCCGCGACACGACGACTGCGTCAAGAGGGGAGATGGGGTATCCGTCGGCCTGATGGAACAATGTATGGGGCATGCCAACCGTTGTCGGCAACCCCCCGACAGCTATGTTGTCCTTGACGGCAACGGTACGGCCACGCAGCAAGTTGCTAGCCGGAACCGCAGACCTTAGGTCACATTGGTGACTCCAGCCGTTAAACGGATTATCTTCTGATGCTGGTTTCCAAAATTTGCGATGTTCCAGCGTCTTTTGAGGAAGCAAACCTGGCGCAATGTAGTCAGGCGCATTGTCGATGCTTCTCAGGACTGTCTCAAGCGACCGCAATAGAGTAAGGTAATCCTCCGCATCTTTGTCATCCATGTTCTTAACATGAAGCTGGGCTGCCAAAACCCGTAGATCCTTCTCGCTTATGTTGGAGCTATGCCGCTTGTTAGCTGTTGAGATGGTCCAAGTTCATGTACAGCGGTTGCTTACCCTACACCATCCGAGATCGATACGATAGACATGGCAGTGATCTGCTCGAGCTGAGAGAAGAGTTGCAATTATCCCAGGGTATTATGGTCCTCATTTAGTCACAGCCTCGAGGTAACTCTTAAGCAGTGTACACTCTACCCTTTTATGTCTTGGGTAGGTCGGCCGATCCGATAGAATTTGAATGCCATAGGACGGGCCCGCCGTCGTAGATAAGGCCATCGAGAGATTCAGCAGAGTCAGGGCGACGTCTCTTATACCATTTATGAGGCCCTTTGGTATGGATTTGCATTGTCATGTCCTTCAGGTGTTTTCAACCAAGTGTGGTACCGAGTGCTCGTTTTTAGTGTCCATTCCCTTGGCTGCGGAACAATCGATGGCGTGCTGTTTCATTAAAGACTAAGAGCAGAAAACGGTATATTGATATTCATGTAAGTTAATATATATTTCCCTACATGCGACACTGTGAAATAGGCCAAGACTACCGAATGGTGAGGAACGCAGTTAAAGCGAGAAAAAAATGATATTGGATTGGGATTGATCCCATATATAAACTTGCATGCAAGATGCTGGTTTAATACTTGTCCTGATCATGCATTGGATATTTCTTTTTTCTGCATGCTACATCCCTTCATTCTTGACCATTGGCAAGGAGAATGCGGCCTCCGTCAACGCAAAGCGATATTCCATTCACATATGCCTAATCAGGGACTTATCAGTATTCCAGCACCATATAGAACAAAGGGCAAGCTCCAAAAGTCTCCGTAGACTTACTCCCGCACGGCTGACGAGGTACAAGATAGTGCCAGCAATATCGTCCTCGTTTCCTGCTCTCCTGGCAGGGACCTTGTCAAAAAGGGCGCTGAAGAGGTTGCCTTCCTCGCCGACAGGGTTCATGTTACTTGGAACAACTGTATCAATCAGCAACTGGGTCCATCCATATGGGTTATTACAACTCCCGGTTTCACTCACAGCCTGGGTTGATCCCCACCACTCGTACGTAGAAGCGGCTGAACTTAGCTGCTAGCAGCTTAACCAGGTGATCAGTTGCAGCTTTGCTCGTCGCATAACTCGTTAGATCCACATTTGTGACGTTATGCATGCTTGCGCACGAACTTGTCATAACCACCACTCCGCGACCCCCGTTTCGCCCGAGCTGGCCACTCGGCAATTCCAGTCGCGAGGCCGCCTCTAGCAATGGGAGTAAAGCCACGGAAAGGAAGTAGTGGGCGGTTGTGTTGACGGAAAATGTGTCATCCCAGTCCGAGTGTCGTGAGGACCACATGGAAGCTTGAAGCTCGGAGAAGGATGCCGTCAACACATTGCATTGGACAGGGGCGTCTCGTCTAATGCCAGCGTTGGAGATTAACATGTCGATGTGCTTTTCTCGCTGGCCGACTTGACTGGCGAGATCTTGGATGGCTTGTTTGTCAGCAACATTGCAAGGGAGCCTAGAGTTAACATCAGTATAGTTCGGGTGGTTTTGCACGCTGAGATTGTTATCATCCGAACTTACCCATGTGCAGACCCTCCAGCTTCTCTACCAAGTTCGTTGAGTTCCGCCACTCTCTCGTCAGTGGGCACGCTTGGTAAATCAACGAGGTACACCTTGGCACCATTTGTCACAAGTCCCTGTTACTACAGAGTCAGCTTTTAAGGAACAGTTGCATTAAAGTATCTGGAATTGCAATTTCAAGTCATCATAAGGCGTTGCACTCACCCTGGCAATCATAAAGCCCAGGCCACTGCCGCCTCCTGTCACAACTGCCACATACCCCTTGACCCCGAACAAACTATCAGTAAGAAGAGAAGACATATTGACAAGGTGCTGGGATGAGTTGTGCTGGAGCTTTGGTGAACGGAGGTAGCGAGCTGTTACATTTGAGCTACTTGAACAGGGCACTGGTAAGTGCTATATTACCCGTCGGACTCCCCGACGAGTCATCAGGGATTCGACTCGTAATGTAACCTTTTCGGGCCACTGCCCAAGCTCAACATTTTGACGTGGCTAGCCTGATATCGTAGTCTCAGTATTACTGATTAGGTACCTCACTGGAGATCGATGCATCCTGGGGTCTTATCATCGTTGTCAGTTATTTGATAGTAACCGTACCGAGGGCTGACCGACATGCGAGCGATATGCATACATACGCGAATCCTGCATATAGATATTTGGAGATGATTGAGTCAAGACTGACAAGTTTCAGTCTTGGGCCAACACGTGGTACTGTTATTGTTTCTCCAGTCCTTGCCAAGTATTCTTCTACCTAGTTCACAGGTTCGCTGTCTTGACAAACAGCCATCCTTCACATTCTCATTGGGGAAATGTCTGTCACACGCATGGAGTGTGGGCCGCCCAGTGATTGCAATCGAATATATTTGTGCTAGGGTATATCTTTTATTTTCTAACATGGACAGTAAGAACTATAAGCAACAGCATCCACACCATGTGTCATTTGCCAGAACCCGCTCCGTTGGCGATGCAATTGCCCCTATAATGTTCCTCGCATATCCTGGAATACATTCTGCACGTTCCAAGGTTTCGTGCCCTTACCGAAAACAGCATCCAAAAAAAGGGTTACTCCTTGTAGTGCTCGCGGGTCCTCTGCTCAGCGAGGTCCAGGCACTCGGCCGTCATGGCCGTATCACGTGGAATGAGCTTGACCTTGAACTCCCTTGGAATGGCAACCAGCGCCGTCTTGAACTGGTTGTACTCGACATAGTCAGTGTTTGGGGGATTCTCCTTGCTCGCGACGATTTTGTAGGACAACAAAATCCTCACCAACGCGGAGTACAAGAGGCGAGAGGCGAGGTACTGGCCTGAGCAAGCACGAGAACCAGTGCCGAAGCTCAAGTGACCCAAGCCGCTGCTGTCAGTCTCGGTGGGAGGGTTGATAGTCTTGAGCCACCGCTCAGGGTTGAAGCTTCCAGCGTCGGGTCCGAAATGATCGATATCTGCAGGCGTTAGACTTTGCTATAATAACCATGGCAAAAGGTTTCAGCTGCGTATCATTTACCATGGTTACCCGCTTGGGCATTGATCAAGATCATAGTCTTAGGAGGGATGATTGCACCGTTCCAGTTGACCTCGGAGACAGTCTTTCGGGGCAGACTCATGGAGCTGACGGTGTAGTATCGGCCAGCCTCCTTGACAATGGCATTGATGTAGGGAATTGTCTCCTCTTTGAAGCAGCTAGTCCAGGTATCGCGGTCGTCAGGGTAATGTCGTTTGATGTCCTCGTAGGCCCGATCCTGCCATGCTTGTCCTTCCTCGGTCGAGAGAGATCCAATGCACGAGGTCAAAGTTCCCGGAATAGTCTCGAAGCCGCCGGAAACCAGAGACAAGCAGATTGAAGAGACTTCGACGCCAGAGAGCTTGGTCTCCTGGTCCTTAAGGATAGCAGCAGAGATGCAAGGTTTATCAGTACCGTTCTTGATCATCTCACGGACCTTGTTCAAGAGGAGATCCAGATAGGTGTCACGTCGCTTCCGCAGATCCTTTGAACGGGCATTTTTCTCGTTATTGGGAAGATAACGAAGCGCCGGGATGTAATCCTGCAGGTTCTCGGAGGCGCTACGTAATAGGGAAATAGACGATCCCACGTGGAGAATCTCACGGAGCAGGTCGTCGTAGACAGCGTCCATACGGATACCGTAGCAGAGCGTTAGTGTGGTGTTGAGTGCGTATCGCTGGATGTAAGGACGAATGTCAATCTCGATCTGACCTTTGCGGCTGTCCTTTTTCATGTCTCGTAGGATGCAGTAGCTCTCCAGGTCAAGCATGGGGTAGTAGTTTCTCAAGGCAGGCCGACCCAGAGCAGTACCGGCAGCCTTGCGCTTCTTCTTGCAGGACTCATCCCAGGGCGAAGATCCAATGGTGAAGCCCTGGGTGCTGCTGATGATGCCGTGGAAGGTATAGAGTTTAGGGCGGTCAATGACTGCATTCTGGCTGCCGAGGAGCATCTTCTTGCAGTCATCAAACGAGTTGACAACGACGGCCCTGGTATTGCCAAGCTTGATCTGGAAGACAGAGTGTTTGTACTGGCGCCACCATTTCTCGCAAACCGTAGCATGGTCCTCACCGAGCTTGAGAAGATGTCCAAATATCGGAACAGCGCCAGGAATCTCCGGCATGCCCTTGATGTGAGGAATGTCGGTAGCATACACGACCTGTCGAGATTGTCAGCTAATGAACATTGAGAAGGAACGAGCAATGGTCAAAAGCACAACTTACAGTGTAAAGCACATATGTGAGCAGCAGCACCACGACCGCTGTGAAGACAGGTCTAGCATGCTCCTGTTCCTCAAGTTGGTGCCATTGAAAGCTCAGCCAATTGCTGCCTCCATATGCCTTGGCGTCCATGTTAAATGAATATACAAAGTGTTGACTATGGTTATAAGACTGAGGTAGAAATGATGGTTAGAGTTGAGGTTGGATCCATCCTTAACAAATATCATGAACTCCAACGGGCGACTTCCTTATGCTGCTTCGTCCGGCTAAGACTCCGCATCTTCCCTCAGATTTGGAATAAGAAATATGACGATTTTCTTTTCGGTGCGGATGCTCCGATGGCGAGGTGTTTCCGACCATTATTCACCCCTTGCCTGGTCACAGCGGTGCTGCCGACTAGATAAGGGCCTCGGATAGTGGCGCCGTCTTCGCGGGGGTTTTTGCATGACTGTCATGGTACATTCCTCAAAGGTGATCATGGCAAACTTGAGTATGACATACCAAGTTCCCACAAATTTGGCAGTTTGTTTTTTGACATCGGCATGTCCGATGACCGATTATTCGTCCGATATTGGTATCTTGTGGTGTGGATCATGGTCGATAAGGGCGATCCAATGTAGTCCAACGTCATCCAACGTCGTCCAATGCACGTAGACGCATCCAGGAGAAGGCTTGTAGATAAGGATGAACCTGGAGCATGACCTCTTATATGGTGTAAAGCCTAGCTATATTCAAACCACATCGTTCCCACTTTGTATCAATAATATGAATAACATGGATAATATATTATCAACAGAAAAGTACAATGAAGAAAAACATTACTGTCAGACCAGCCAGAGACCCGATTCATTTGCTGTAGAGGAGCCGCTCCACTACCCGTCTACCAAACGAGATCTCAATGCACGCCATGCGCTCTTCATTGCCTGGGGTGGCACTGTTGGGACCGGCCTTTTTATTACAACTGGCAAGGCTCTTGCGACTGGTGGACCAGCATTCCTCGTTGGAAGCTACGTCTTTGCATCCATTTTGGTGTACTTCATCCTTACGGGAGTCATCGAGATGGCCACCTTTCTTCCCGTTCGCGGTGGCTCCATGAGTCGGTACGGCAGTCGCTTCGTGTCTAGGAGTCTCGGTTTCGCCATGGGTTGGCTCTATGTCTACTCTTTCGCCTTACTAGTTCCCTTCGAACTTACGGCATGCGCTCTCCTCATAGACTTTTGGCAACCCGGTGTCAGCAGCGCGGTTTGGATCACCATTCTGCTAGTCTTATTAGTCATTCTTAATGTCTTACCAGTAAGATTCTACGGCGAAGCGGAATTCTTCTTCACTGGTGTCAAACTGGCCACCATCATCGGCCTGCTTCTTCTGTCGTTTATCTTGTTTTGGGGAGGAGGTCCTGACAAGAACAGGCTCGGGTTCCACTACTGGAAAGTTCCTGGTGCGGCAAATACCTTGATCCTGGAAGGTGACGCTGGCAGACTCGTCGCCGCTATCGCGACTGTCATCAGCAGCATCTTGCCCTTCACGTTTACACCCGAGATGGTGGTCGGAACAGCAGCCGAGATCAAAGAGCCAAGGAAAAATGTGCCAAGGGTCGCGAAACATTTCATCTGGCGCCTGATTGTTCTTTTCGTTGGCAGCGTTGTTGGCATCTCCGTTATCTGCCCCTCTAATGCCTCCACCCTCACACGCGGAAGTGATGCTGCATCCTCACCGTGGGTTGCGGGCATCCACCAAGCTGGGATACGGGGCTTGGACAGCGTTATCAACACTGTGGCACTGGTCGCCGCTTGGTCAACGGGTAACGCGTTCCTTTACCTCTCCAGTCGATGTCTTCACTCCATGGCCATGGAGGGTAACGCGCCTCAAATCTTTCAACGGTGCACTGTGAAGGGAGTGCCCATCTACGCTGTGGGGGGGACTGCTTGTGTCTCTCTTCTGGCCTATTTGACCCTCAACTCTTCCTCGGCGGCCATCTTAAACTGGCTGTTGAACTTAGTCAACACTGGCGGGTTCTTGTCCTGGGTCTGCTGCTCCATTACGTATCTTCGGTTTCGAAGAGCCTGTGATGTGCAGGGAATTCCCAAGTCGGAGCTCACGCAGAGGTCCACGCTACAACCATACACGTCATGGATTACGCTCGTTTTGTTCAGCATATTGTGTCTTCTGAACGGTTTTACAGTCTTTTTCCCGTCCGAATGGTCAATTGCTTCCTTTATATCAGCATATTTAGGTTTGCCGGCGTTTCTTATCTTGTATTTTGGTCACAGATTCACTGACCACAAAGAGCCTTGGGTTATTCCGTCGCATCTTGTGGATCTACAACTAGACCCAGCAGAGTTGGATGATCACTGACATTTCTCTGAATATTGTACATAGAGAGCAATAATTTCAGGACTTGGAAACTTGGAGCAAGACGTCGTCAGTTGAGTCGGCCGCATGATGGGCCTCTCTCCTTGACTTCCAGACGATGTGAGACTTCAATAATCTGATTCATCTAGCTTGAGATGGTATAAGAGATGTTATATGTAACATTAAACTCCAATGTTCTTTTTGGATGGTCTTTTTAGCTGTTGCTCGTGCTGAAATTTGGCTCTCGTAACGTCTCTCGGGTATTATACATCTTCATAAAAGCCCTGGGCACTAGTTATTCTTTGTCAGCAAGGTCCGCACGTGTGGACCCGTGGACAAATTCCAACCTCGGAAGGTTTTCCATTTTGAGCTTCTACCCGTGGACCTGTATGGGATTTACATAATATTGTATAAAACAGAGTTTCTGTCCAGTCTTATTAGAGGAGGTGCCCGGGCCAGGGACTGAGTACGGCAGTTTCCTACCGCTAGTGCGCCATGAGGGTATTTGGTCATTTCTTCTATCTAGCATTGTTGTCTTTAAAATTACATAGATGTCATGTGGCTATCCTAGAAGTTAAGTCTTTGGTCACCCTTCACCCTGCACTATTGCCAATCAGTTTGCAGTCATGTCGTTGTACCCCATGAATGCTGATTCAAACACAGGAAATGGAGATACTGCAGCGGTGAAAGGTTTTTTTTTCTCTTTCATTCTAGTTGTGAGACATGTGTTTCTGGCAATGTAGATACGTAGGCATATATTAATTTTGAGATATTTGAAGTTGTTCTTTTAAGATGTTGGTGTCAATCTCTAGAACCTCCGGGGTTTCATTGTAAAGGTACCTAGGTACCAGGTCGATCGGCAATACTGCCCGGTATTCGGCTCGGCCCGTGCCGCACCCGGCTCGGCTATCCCACCGCCTTATACTGCCCCCCGCAAGTGCACCACCGCCTTCAGGGTATAAAAGGACGGCTCGAGCCTGGAGACCTCTCCTCTTCCTCTTCTTTTTTCCTTTCCACCTTTTCTTTGCCTTCTGGCTCAGATCAAGTGTAGTATCTGTTCTAATCAGTTTAGTCGCTGATTGTTCCACAGCAGAACATTCTGATTATTCCAATCTTTGGACCTCGCGACTTGGCCTCTATGCTTGCATATGCCTCTTTGCACTGTGTCACTATGCTTACACTACCCCGGTTGATGTGACCCCTTTCCTTTTTTTTACCAATTATCCAGCTTGTCCGGTGTTTGGAGAAGAAAGCTTGTCTAATTCCATATTCTAGCCTCCAAGTCAGGTTCTTAGCTTCCTCAATCTCTTCAATCAACTTACATTGCCGCATACATACACTTAGACTTTTCCAACGTAGATGATCTCTCCTATTATAATGTACTAAATTTACTGATTGTCAACCTCCGTAATGTAATGGTTTAGCTTTATGAAGAATAAACCACACATGTCAACACCCATATGGATCTCTCTTTAACAGATGCCCTTCAAGATGCTTTTTGACATAACTTCTTATTCAGTTCCTGTCCTCGATGTTATATTCAAAACAAAGGATATGAATAGACCAAATGGACCTGCGCATCCTGTGCATATGGGCGTGGTTGGTAAGACATGGCCTCCAGGCACTTTTGCGAATAGGAATACGAGCGGAGGCACCCGGCGGGGTGGGACGGGCCGTCCCGTCCCGTCCCGCTACCGCCCTACGGGGGATTGTCCCCAGTGACGTACCGCCTCATACTGCCCCCGGTCACGCACCGCCTTTGGGGTATAAGACGAAGATTCGAGCCCGAAGACCTCGTCCTCTTCTTTTTTCCCAACTTCTCTTTGCCTTCTGGCTTAGATCAAGTGTAGTATCTGTTCTAATCAGGTTAATCGCTGATTGTCCTGCATAGCAGGGCATCCTGATTATTCCAATATTTGGAACCTCGCGACTTGGCCTCTGTGCTTGCATATGCCTCGTTGCACTGTGTCACTGGGCTTACACTAACCCCAGTTGAGGCGAGCTCTCTTTTCATTAAATATTCGGCTTGTCCGGGTGTTTGGAGAAGAAAGCTATCGTCTAATGCCCCTCTGCCCGCCCTGTTGTCATGGAGTTCCTTTATGTCAATAAGCAATGTGCTGTCTCATCCATATGCCTCTGGGGGTCTCTTTACCTGGTTCTCGACTAGGTGATAGGATTGTTATGACTGTCTACTGATTTTCTAGACTTCCTGGATCTCATTCTCTATGTCCGTTCGTGTTGCCTCATCTTCTAGGGCTTATGGGTCGCCTGGTGCCTGACACCTAGTTTCTGCGCATGCGATTACCGTGACCCCGATCGATGTCACTAGGTCGCATCCTGGATATTGAAGATCACTTCGGTCGGACCCACCTTGTCGACAGGGAATATTCCTCCGTGGTCGCAATCCGCGACCGTATGAGACCTCACGTGCTATTCCAACCTCGGGTCATCCTCCGTCGCATCCATGGTCCATTTCCTTCTTCGATTCCTCCAAAGTTCCAAAGTTCTTTTGATTCTTCGTGTCTTCTTTCTACCAGACATGGCCCGAACCAAGCGCCAAAACACACAGCCTTTGGAGGATTCCTCCGTGGCCCCCGAAACCTTCACCGACGGCCTCCCACTCCCGAAGTTGATCGCTTTCGACCTGGACTACACACTGTGGCCGTTCTGGGTTGACACACATGTCAGCGCACCCGTCAAGGCACGCGACAACAACTCGCGTGCTGTAGACCGGTACGACAAATCCCCCGATTGAACTTGGTCTCTTACCACTCCCGTTTCTAACCCCGCATTCCTTTCTCAAATAGATGGGGAGAGTCCTTCGCCTTTTATCCGGCAGTCTCATCCATAGTTTACGCCTGCAAACATCGCTCGATTCCACTGGCCCTTGCATCGCGAACCCAGGCCCCGGATCTGGCCCGCGACATGCTCAAATCCCTGCATATCATCCCCACATTCTCCGATAACCCCGCCGCGAACGCTAAGACCATCCGTGCCCTCGACTACTTCGATTTCATCCAGATCTACCCCGGGAGTAAGACATCGCATTTCTCGAAAATCCAGCAGACAAGCAATGTGGCTTATGAGGATATGCTGTTCTTTGATGATGAGGCGCGGAACCGAAACGTCGAGACGGAGTTGGGTGTCACATTTTGCTTGGTGCGCGATGGGATGACCAGGGACGAGGTCGACCGGGGCGTTAGAGCTTGGAGAAAGCGCAATGGTATCAAGAAAGAGACTGCAGAGGAATCATGAGGGTCCTTGGCTGTCTTGTCCGATGGTTCCTGCATTGGGGGATGTTGCGCTTTAGACTTGCTTTTAGATTTTAGATACCCCGGCTTGGAATATACGACGGATGCATTTTCTATGCTATACAGTTACATGTCAATTTGAATAGAGTAACATTTGAAACTACATCGAATACATCGATAAAAATCGATAAATCCATCCATGGATGCCGGCCGCTCAGGGGCGTTTTGTCGAGCTGACTAAGAGACGCACCCCACCTGGGCAAAGAGCGGCGCGAGCTAGCTCCAAAACAGGAAGACCATGCTATCATAGATCCCCAAAAACACACCTCCTCCAAAACAAAAATCATCAAAATGGCGACTCTCAAGCCTCCAACAAATACCCACCGCTCCTCATCTTCCTCTCACAGCTCCGGTCCACCGAAAGCGCCCCTAAAAGCCGACTCAACAGCCACAATCGCCGACACTGTCGTGTTCCAAGGCCGATACCTCGTCACCATCGGCGCAGGGACAGTCATCCACCCCCGCGCGAAGTTCTACGCATACGAAGGCCCCATCGTTGTTGACGATGGCTGCATAATCTGTGAGAAAGCGGTAATCGGCGCTGCGCCAACCTCATCTCGTTCGCCGTCACCGTCCAGACCAGCAAGCACATCCACAAGCACATCACCCACCGAATCTGGGGCGTCCACGCCCGAGCCTGGAAAAGAGACATCGACTCGGATCTCATACTTCGCTACTGTCGGCCCGTTGACGACTGTCGAACCCGGTGCTCATATTCATCCTTCTGCGACGATCGAGGCTCTGGCGACGATTCGCCGGGGTGCGGATATAGGTGCGCACTCGAAGGTTTGTTCCGGGTGTGAGATTGCCGCAGGTGGATCCGTGGCGGAGTGGGTTGTTGTGTACGGTCAGGGCCCGGGAATGCGGAGGAAGAGAGCTCGTGGTGTGAAGGGCATCAGTCCGGCTGTTGTGGGTGCGGCGCAGGTTGCGCAGACACCTCTTCCTGGTCCTGCGCCGGCGGGTAAAGTCATTGAGGATGCGAGGTTGATGGTCTTACAGAAGGAGAGGGAGGCACTTGGGAGAATGCTTGTTCCTGCTGCTGGGGGGAGGAAGAAGTGATTGCAACGTCTTTTTTTTACTTGAACTTACGTTCTTCTCCGTCAAAGCAGATTTGTTTCCTTGGATAGATTCATGTCTTCTAGCAGCTTATACCCCAGTTTTCGTTTACAGTGATCAATATATCGCAGGTGGTTACAAGGATAATGCACGAGATACCTTGCAATTGAAGTCTAGTATCAATTGGGAGTAGGAATAAAAACCCATAGAAACGCCACACATTCAGTAGATACAAGACAAAGAAACAAAACTGCCTTTTGCATAGCAGGTTAAAACGTGAAAAGCAATGCGCCATATGGCATAGGCAGACGTAGAAACCGGTTCCTGAACAGCTCCACGCCGCGTTTGTCAATGAAATCGAGGATACATTAATGCAATAGAAAAAGATAAATGAGAATTGCTGCTTAAGAAGAGCCTCCACCACGAGGCTGCGGGCCACCACCGCCTCTCTGTCTCTTGCCGCCGCTTCCACCCTCGGCGGTAGTATCGGGGCCGTCATCACGAGAGCGCTTGTTGCCCCCCGGAATGAACTGACGGGCCGAAGCATTCAGGTTCCCGCGGTTAGCAGTGGGGCTCTGAGCCTGGGTGACCGTATTTTGATTTTGGTTGCCACCGCGCCCTTGTCCACCACGACCACCACGACCTCGCTGAAGACCGGGGCCGCGCTGGTTCTGGCCGTGAGCTTGACCTTGCTGCTGCTGTTGGTCATGTTGTTGATGGCCGAATTGCTGGCCACCACCACGTCCACCACGTCCACCTCGTGCAATAGGAAGTCCAGATTGAAGAGCTCGCATCAGACCAGGTGGGTTTCCAGCGGGAGGCTTGCTAGGGAGAGAGGAGGCCTGCTGGTTTTGATCGGTTTGCTGAACTTGGCCGAACGGATTGACAGGCGCTGTGGGCTGTGCCTCGCCATGCTGGGTGGCAGGAGGTTCAGAAGGCGCAGTGGGAGGCGCGACTTGATCCGTTGGGATATTCGCGGCTGCTGCCACCGGGACAGAGGCAGGAACAGGAGCAGGGCCAGGGGCCGGCGCAGGGACAAGGGCCGAGGGGGCTGTAACTGGAACTGGCGGCGCCGCTAGAGTTGGAACGGGAGCAGCGGGTTGGACTGGGATTGCCCCGGGTACGGGCGGCTTAGCAGCCGGGACAGCGACCGGTGTAGGCCGGGCAGTCTTCGCAATTTCCCATACTTCCACAACGGGCTTTTGAGGCGTTTCGGTGGCAGCCTTTGATACCACATCGATCTTAGCATTCGCAGTTCGGAATCTGGTGTCAAGCATGCTGAGACGGGCAGCTGTTTTCTTTTCGACAAGTTCGACCGCCGAGGTGACCTTCTCCTTGATTTCATTCTCATGGGCCTTGATCAAGGCCTCCCTTTCCTCGGTCGACTTCTGTTGTAGTCCAGCCAATGCGGCTTCATTGGCACCGGAGGAGGCTTGGGCTTCTTGTTGAAGCTTTTGTTGCTCGCGAGCCACCCCACCACGAATGTTGTTCCGGACGATTGTGCGAATAGTCTCATGCTTCGCGACTAGCTCTCTTGCTTGAGCATCTGTCAACTCGGGAATAGTAAATCCAGCAAGTTCGAACGTTTTTGACGGTGTAGCAGGGGTTGCATCTGGGCCCGCACCTGGTGTTCCAGGCATGGATCGTTCACTGGTGGACAGTTTCTCAATTTCTTGACGATGGGCAGCCTTGACTTCGTTCAGCTTAGTATGGTACACATCCTTAAGGCGGTCGGCGCGTTCCTTGATCTTCGCATCGTGTTCGCTGGCCTGTGTCGTCAGAAGTTCATCCTTCTCGGCAAGCGCTGCCTCGAGTCGCTGGATCTTCTGCTCAAGGGCTTGTATCTTTTGAGCATCACTAGGACCGGAGATTTCGACTGTCGTGGTTGGGAATTGTGAAGCCGGGGTAGCGTTGACGGGAGCTTCTTCTTCTGTAGCTTCAGCTGCAGCTGGAGCTGGAGCTGCAGTAGGTGAAACATTGGGTGGCGCCTCTGCAACCTTGGTCTTCAATTCTTCCAACTCCTTCTTTGTAGTCTGAAGTTCCGCTTGGATGACCTCTTTCTCCTGCAACACCACATTGAGCTCATCTTGCTTGGCCTTGACACGCGCGCTAAGGTCTTTAGAGCGCGCCTTGAATTGCTCTGTGAGTTTAGATCGCAAATCATGGGCACGTTCATCGGAATGCTGCTTAAGCTGTTCTGGGAACGCAGCGATTTGAGCCTGAAGTGACTCCATCTGAGTCTGGAGAGCTTCCCGCTCGGACACCGCCTCGGTTTTTTCGTTCTCGAGGGTCGTGAGCTTCTCCTTCAGCTCTTGCATTTCAGTAGGATCAACACGGTCGTACTTTTGAAGGATGTTCTGAATACGCTGTTGGTATCGGTCGCGATCGGCCTGTAGAAGCTGCATTTCTCCATCCTTGGCTTCACTCTGGCTCTCCAACTCGTGGATCCTGATCTTGAGGGGTTCGATCTCCTGGACCAGCTCATTCTCGCGGGCGATCTTTTGATCACGGACGGCCTCAGTTTGTTTTAGTTGGTTTCTGAGAGTGGCGTTGCTTTCACGGAAAACGTTTAGCTCATTGATAGTCTCCAGCAGCTTGCTGTGATTCAACGCGCTGTGATCGCTGTCGGCCGCAGCACGGCGCTGCTGCTCAAGCTTCAGACGGGTCTCATCAAGCTGCGACTGAGTGTAGTCGAGCTGCTGGTTGAGACGCTTGCTTTCCTGGGTCGAAAGGTGGTATTGAACTTCAACGATTTCTTTCTCGCGACGCAAGAACTTTATAACCTCCTGTAGGCCCTCGAGATTGGGGGCCGCCTGGTCTCCCTCTTGCTCGTCGTCCGAAACATGCATTCGGTCCCGCTGCAAGGACGAAATCTGGCTGGTGATATTTTCAAGCTGGGTGTGAAGCACCGAATTCTGGTGAAGAACCTCCTCTCGGCGCTTCTGCAGTTCAGACAGCTCACCCTCGTACGCGGCTCGTTGCTCCGCCCAACTCTCCTCCTTCTGAGACAGATCAGTTTTGTAGCCCTCGGATTGGGTTCGCAGCTCAGCGATGTCGAGCCTGAGCTGGTTGCTCTCTGCACGAACAACCTGGAGATTCTTCGCTGCCTCGGCGTGCTTGACAAGCTCGGTCTCATAGTTCTGTTGAGCATGCTTAGCGATTTCGGCCTGCGCATTCAGGTCTTCCTGGTGGTATTGCGCAGCAGTGACATGTCGTTCATTGTCGGCCTTGAGACGAGTAATTTCCGACTCGTAGTTAGCCTTCTGTTCTTCCAGACGGCGAGTTGCCTCTGCTTGCTCTTCGCGGAGCTTGGTCATTTCAGCGTTGGAAGCGGACAGTTCAGCTGAGATCTCTTCAATGCGAGTTTCGAGGTCCTGAATCTTGGTGTCCTTCTCCTCCACGAGACGATCGGTCTCCTCACGGTACTGATCCTGTGTCTCGGTGGCGGACTCCAGACGTTCTTCACTGGCTTGGCTGATCGCCTGGTAGTCTTCGGCCAGTTGCTTGGCGTGTTCTAGTTCACCCTTTGCCAATTCCAGGTCCCGTTTCAGTTCGGAAACTTCAATTGAAAGTTCCTGCTCGCGAGAAAGGCCGCTTCCTTCACCAGACTCCAGACCCTCGGTAGGTCCCTCGGTGGTACCGGCGGACACGCTTGGTCGCGAGTGCAAGACCTGCAGACGCTCTTCGGCACTCTTGAGCTCAACTGCAAGCTCATCCACACGAGACTGTAGGTGATCCCGGGTGGTCTTGGCGGCAACCAGCTCTTCGCGGACTGAGCCCAAACTGATGACCAGGTCATCAATTCGTTTTTGTGATGTCTCCTGTTCATACTCCCGGCGCATGCTAGCCTTCTTGGCTGCCTCCACTTCGTCATTGAGCTTGCGCTTTGTCGATTGCAGTTCAGTTTCGAGCGACTCGACGCTGGCTTGGAGTCGGCGTCGGCTCTCGGAGTCGGTGTGTTCACGCTCGTTGAGAATGGTTTGAAGGTTTGCGTTCAACGAGTCTAGACGACTACGCTCATTGCGCAAATTTTCGGTATCGTCGATGAGTCTCTTCTCAATGTTCTTCCAAAGGTCCTTCTCGGCCTTGAGGTTGGCATTTTCTCTCTGCAGACTCTCAACAAGACCCTTAGCCTCCACGAGGTCTTCAGCAGCTTGCTGGGTGCGGAGATCCTGTCGGTTTGCGTTTTCGAATAGAGCAGAATAGCGCTTTTGGATCTCGGTATTCTCATTCTTGAGCATATTGAAGTTACTCTGCAAAAGCTCCGCACGTTGGGAAGCAGCAGCAAGCTGGCTGCTTGACCGACTGATGTCAGACATAAGCTCACTGTTCTTACGTGACAGCTCATTAACCTGCTGCCGCAATGCTTTGTGATCTGTCGTCGTTTCTTCACGGAAAGTGTCGAAATGAGCTTGAACCTTTCGGAGCAGCTCGGCGTAGTCAGGTCCTGATGTTTCCATGGCTCCCTGACGCGCAGCGCCAAGAGGCATGGATTGCGAGAAGACAGACGGGTCATCGATGGTTGGCTTTCTGTGCATGAGCATACTGCGGAACGTGTCGCGCTCCTTAACGTAACTCTGCATCTGTGCGCTGAGGTTCGCAATCTCATCGCGGTTTGTCTGGGCACGGATCCGGAGCTCCTTCAACTCGTCCATTTCCGCCCGTCGCGTAGCTTCCTTGGCTTGCGCCTCTTCACCCTCCTGCTTGTCACCAAGTTCTCTCAACATACGTCGGAGAGTGTGGTTCTGATCCTGGAGTTCGTGAAGATCCTTGAAAGTCGTAAGATGCTTACTGATAAAGCGGCCAGTTTCATTGAGATCCTTCGCCGACTCTTCGACTTCACCACGAGCGATTCTCTCGAGCTCCTCACGGTCGTATTCTTCGCCATGTTTTGCGACAGCAACCTCTAGGACAAGAACCTTGACTTCCGCACTCAGATCACGGAGTTGTTGGCGTAGAATGTCGCCCTCACGAGCCAAGCCCTCGACTTGACCTTGCCATTTCCTAGCTTCCTTGAAGGCGGCATCCCGTTCCTTCCCGGCGGCTTCGAGGAGAGTAGACATTTCCACAACAGCATGGTCGAGACGGGTTTGTTCTGCTCGTCCCTCCTCAATTTCTGGTCTGGTTGAATCAAGCTCAAGAACCATCTCGTCAACGGTATTGCGGAGTTCCTGGCAAGTTCTCTGCTCAGCTGCAAGAGCGGTGCGCATTCTGTCGTACTCGGCGTACATCTGCGTCACGTTCATACCACCCTTACCACGAGAAGCGCGGGGGGAGAACGAGCCACTGGGAGTGCCAGCGCGCATGATGCTTGATCGTAGAGGTGTACTGGGTGCACCTCCATTAAGAGAGACAGCGGGGCTTGCTGATCTTCCTCTGGCAGGTTCGGACTCAAGCTGGGCAACAAGTGCCTCGAGCTCGCCAATTCGGCGCTCCGCGGCTCCCTTGTCGTTGGACTCCGTCTCAAGCTCCACACGGAGACGTGAAATTTCCTGCGCTGCGTCATCCTTTGTCTTTTCGAGGGCAAGTTGGCATTCTTGCACCCGTTGCTTGGCCGTCTGGGCAGCAGATCCTTGTAACTCAGCCAGTCGGTTAGAGCTGTCAAGCTCGATGCGGAAGGATTCGGTTGCCTGGATCGCTTCCTCTTTCAACTGATGAATGCTAGCCAGAGAGGTCTCGTATCGCTGCTCTGTTTCATCCAAGCGACTCTTAAGCGAGTTCTCACTCCGTCGAAGAGAGTCAATTGTCGAGTTTGCTTCTTCGTTCTCTCGCTGAAGCTCCGAGATCCGAGCACCTTTTTCTTTGCGGAACTTGATGTATTCAGCGGATTTTGTCTTGAGTTCAGTCTCGAACCATTCATTGTTCTTTTTGGTGAGATCCAGTTCTTGTTGAAGGCTCTGCTCGCGGAAGCGGGCGCTGGCAGACGCGGCATTGGCACTCTGGAGATTTTGCTCCGCGGTGGACAGTTCACGTCGTAATTCGATGGTCTTCTTGTGCTGAAGCGAAAGCTCCTCCGCTAATTTGTCATAGGCTGCAGATTTCGATTCCAGCAAGCCCAGTGTGTCTCTGTTGGATGCTTCCAGAGATGAGATACGCGCTTTTAAAGATGTGGTTTCGGATTCGTTAGACGTGGACGAGGCTTTCAGGGCAGAGATCTCTGTCTCGAGCGAGGAACGGGTATTTTCTATTCGGTGTTAGCGAAGAGCTCATCAGTAATAAAAAGGATAGAGATATATACCAGCTTCGTGCAGCTTTTGCCTCAGATCTGCGACCTCGGCGTGTCCCTTCTCCACGCTGGTTTTCAGAACCTTGACCTTCGACTCATTGCTGCGCACAGAATTCTCAAGCTCTACCTCCAAACGAAGCTTGTCGGACTTGAGCTCATCATATTCATGAGCCTTGTTATTGATTGATTCCAAAAGTTGATTGACAAGCTCCACAGTTGGGGCCTGCCTTAAGGTCGTGAGCGTCGATTCGGGAAGCGCATAGTGGGATGATAGGTAAGGAATTTGAATGGCAGTTTCAGCCATGTTGTCGAACAAACAGCACTGAGCTGTCGTGGCGGAGAATCAAGAAAAATAAGTGCGAGCAGCGCAAGCTAGAGCTGGGTCCTCGAGGACGGGCGCGGCGTGTACTGTTCAGAGACAATTACACACAGCGCTGGGCGAGGGACCTCAGGTCATGACGATGTGGACAAAAGAGATATGCTTCTTCTGAGGGGGGGGGAACGAAGAATTGAATGAAATGGTAATTGAAAGAAATGGTGGTGAGGTGACTTCAAGGGCGTCCGAGATCCATTTCCGCGCTTGGGGGTGCTGAGCTCTGGCACGTGACATTCTTTGTCTGGCCTTCAATCTTTTAATAGCCACTCTCCTCGAAGCTTAACTGCTTGACTAGGCTGCCCATTTTCTAGACAACTCTCTTTGCGTGTATTGTCTTCTTTTCTTTCACGCTGTACCTATGCCAATCCCCGTTTGAATCTTCCAGCTCGATCTAGGCCAAACCAAGTGGTTGCCATCTCAGCTCCCTTCCAGTCTTCTCTTGAATCTCAGCAGTCTCAGATCCTTCGTCGCAACCATGTCGTACCTTCAGAATCAGCTCAAAAGCTTCAACGCTAGTGTCGTGGAGTCGGCAAACCGCATGCCCACGCAGCGACGTGTGGCCAGTAACCAACCAGTCTCTGGCAGCAGTTCCCAGGTCCCATCGTCCGCACCGACCCCATCTTCCTCTAGCGAGATCAAAAAGAAACGTCATGACCCGGACATCGTCTACTCTCAGCCGGCCAACACAGGCACGGGCAAAGATATTATGACGCAAGTGCTGTTTGCGATCGAGCACATGAAGAACAAGAACATTCCGCTGAAGTTCTCGGATATCATTTCATACCTCTCACTGCAGCATCGTGCCCATGACCGAGGCTACGTGCAGGCTCTTCGGAGCATTCTGCAGATGCACGAGAAAGTTGAGTTTGATCCAACCGGCGCGAACGGCGAGGGTACATTCAGGTTCCGCCCACCTCACAACATTCGCAATTCGGAGCAACTCCTGAAATACCTCCAAACACAGACTACTGCGGCGGGTATGAGTGTTCGCGAACTTAGGGAGGGCTGGCCAAACGTCGAAGAGGAAATCAACCAGATGGAGAAGGAGGGAAAACTGCTTGTGACTCGAAACAAGAAGGATGACCATCCCAAGATGGTGTGGCCTAACGACCCGTCCCTAATTGAACACTTTGATGATGAGTTCAAGCAGATTTGGGACAAGATCAAAGTTCCTGATGTCAAGGTAGTGAAGGAAGAATTGGACAAGTTTGGCATCACGCCTACCAACAAGAACAAGGTGCTTGGTCCCCGGGTCATTGCACCATCTAAGAAGGCCAAGAAGCCACGCCGAAGTGGCAAGACCACCAACACTCATATGACGAGCATTCTCAGGGACTACTCGCATCTTAAACGGTAAGTGAGTTCAAGGATGCCGCAAGGGTCTTACTTGGCTCGTTGTCACACCAGAAGTTCCTTTGCTATGATCATTGCTTTGCATTGCTTCGGCGTTTGGGGGGAACGCGTGCGGCCTCATTGTCGTCACATGGAAATTGATTCATTACTTTTACATTTGCTTCGACAGCGTTGACATTTGTACACTACGCGCAGAAAACGATAGATACCCAAATAAACAGATTAATCAATTCCTTGTTTCCCTACACAGCTAACTATATAACAATGTTCCTTCATGTAGCCAGTCAGTCCACCATCTCTATACGCTCATACTCCCACCCATCGAAGAACAGGTCTATCCATATGTATCAATTTATCTAAAAAGAGGTATCCAAGAGAAGGCGTAGTGATGTACAAGATACCCAAAAGCACACGACCCAACAAAAGCGAACTGAATCTAACAACCCAAAAATCAAATGCAGGCCCGCCGATCAATTCTTCCCATTCGCAGCAGCGCCGGTACTCTCAACACGATCCAAATAGACCACCAAATCCTCAATAGTGCACACTTTAATACCCCACTTCTTTCCAAAGCGCAGACACCCATCCCGACGCATCATACCATTATTCCCCCCAATCTCCGCCTTGCCCTCAACAACCTCCCCATCCTCAACAAGCTCAGCAATAACACCAGCCGGCGCCTTACCAGCAAGCTTACAGAAATCCACCGCAGCCTCGGTGTGGCCCGTTCGCTCGCGCACGCCGCCAGGCCGCGCCTGCAGCGGGATGATATGGCCGGGCCGGCGGAAGGAGTCGATCTGCGCCGCGGGCGAGGCGAGCGTGCGGCATGTCAGTGCGCGGTCCTCGGCGGATATCCCCGTCGTCACGGAGTCGTCGCTCGAGTCGATTGTGATTGTGTACGCCGTGCACTTCGGGTCGGCGTTCTCGGTTACCATTTGCGGGAGCGCGAGGCGGGTGGCGAGGTCCGGGGTGATGGGGGCGCATATTAAACCGCTGTTTTTTAGAATTGTTAGCAAAGTTTGCTTAGATGGCATTGGGACTGGCGCGTTTGTCTTTGTGGGTGTGTCGTTGCGGGGAGGGAGGACGGGGATTCGCGGCTTTGGTAGTCCGTCCCCGTCGCTGTCTTGGTTTGGTGGCGCTCTTACCTCGTATAGCGCACCAGGAAGGCCATCTGGGCGGCCGTGATGGACTCGGCGGCGATGATTAGGTCGCCTTCGTTTTCGCGGTCTTGCGAATCAAGGACAATGATGAATTCGCCATTCTCTGTTGTAGGTGTTCGTTAGTTGTTTGGTCGGATCAGAAGGCGCTGCAAGCATCTAATGCTCGTAGTGGTGAAGGCGGTTCCCTGTGCAAGAATATCACTTACTAAATGCCGCAATTGTGTCCTCAATTGAGTCGAATTGGTGTGCGACTTGCGTGGGCGAAGGCATTTTGGCTTTTCTTTTTGCCCCTCACTGCGGAATTTCAAGGATGAGAGTAGTTCCAAGTGCACGGGGTTGCAGGAGATGAGGAAAAGAGGAGCAATTGATGAAGAGAAAGGATATTCCAATTGGCCTAGAACCAAGAAGCAAGAAGAATATTGCAGACTGAGTCACTGGATGACAAGAGCATTAGAAATGCTTGTGATATCGGCGCGGGGGAGCCGGACCGGGCGAGATTGCTAAGCCTCGGAAGACTAAAAGGCCAACTATTCACCTCCGAGGTCCTAATTCCGAGTTGCTTTTCAAATAGTAGCGCACTCTATAGACTATTACCTATATATAGGTACATACTCATGTTCCTAACACTCCAACCCACTAGAACTGGGTATCCAGATGCAATAGATATGAACTGTATCAGCCAAGCCCCCGACTCCCCATCCAGCGGACCTCATCCGCCTGCCTCTCAAGCGCACGGCGCATGTAATCCCCATACCTCTGTTCTCTCTCCCAATCATCACGCCGTCTATGCCGCATCTCTTCGCGTGTAGCTTCATCGACCTCCGCATGCATAAACAGATCATCATCGTCGACGACTTCTTTATCATCGACCTCCAAATCATAATCCGCAGGAACGGAAAACTTGAGACGACCAATGCGCTCTCCAGTCCAGATAAGAAGCTCATCTCCAGTGAGATTAGCACCAGTGGGGAGAATCTTGCGAGCGACCTCGTTATTTCCCGGCGATTGGGAGGGCCAAAGCCCACGTGGCTGGGCTTCTTCTGTCTGCGGTTTAGACTGTTGGCTACGACGACCGAATGGGATCTGAGGCTGGGAGGTATTGATGTTCCAGCGTCGGACTTCTGACCGACCGTTTCGCTCGGTCCACTTGATGTTCCCCTCGGCGTCAGAAAATACGATGCGATTGCCGTGCGACCCCACGGAAAGTAGTTTGGAACTCGCGGCGCTTTGGCGGTTCTTGTACTCTGGGTTGAGAGTGGATGTCACGTTCGAGGGGCTGTGGTCTTCCTCGGGTGTTGGTTTGAGGTTATAGAGTTCCAGCGAGCCTCGTCCGTTATAGTCTCCGCATGCCACGACGGAATGTGACTCGGGGTAGCTGGAGCCTGAGAAGACTGGGAATCGAGGCGCTGGTACTGAGGCAAGACCGCATAGTCGGCCGCCGGAATGGACTGTTGTCTGTAGCCGAGGGAAGTAGCGCCGGTCATAGCATAGGATGCTGGGGAAGCGCCCTGCAAGGAGAATTGTATTCACATGAGGAGCTGGCGGGTGCAGGATGGAAAGAGGACCAGGTTGGAAGAGGGGTGCGTAGTTTGCTCCTATATCCGAGGGCCCTGGACTGCGTATACGAGTAGGTGGCTGTCCATTGGATTGGAGTTGGAACAAGGGCGAATCAGAGTGGGCAAAGATGCCCAGTTCGGGGGCGTGTGGGCTGGCGCCCCGCTCGCATCGCGAGCTGATTGCCTCTTCTTCCTCGACAGCCGACAGTCTAGAGTCATAGATCTGCAGGCTGAGCGTAGTGGCTAGTGTCAATGGCACTGAGTAATCTGTCTCCTGGGAAAGGGCGAAAATCGACCAGGGATAGCGCTGCTGCGAAATCACTCTCAGCGTCTCCAGGTCAACTTCATTAAGAACATTTCCAACTGCCAGGTAGGCTCTTTGTCGCAGGGAATCCACGCTCACTCCCTCGCCTAGGTTTATAAATTCCAACGAAGCCTTGGATGAGGACTGATCCCGACGACCAGACATGTTCGTCATGAGGATGCCGGGCTCACTGACCCCAAGGATCTTGCCTTTACTTGCTTGGGAGTCAGCCGAGTGGGAGTGATTCAGATCCCAGATGCAGACACTGCCATCTTCAAGCGGGGCAATGATCTTGTTCTGCCTGGCTGAACTCCAGTCTTTGAGCAGTCCCATGCCTTTGACCTCATAAGACTGCCCTCGTTTTCCTTCGCCTTTGCGGACCGAGGGCTGCTCGACCCATGACAAAGATATGGGCCCGTTGCGAGCAATATATTCCGAATACCAGTCCATATGCTCCCCCTCAGCCGACGAATCCCATTCCGCTGCCGCCCTCGCCCTCTCACTCCAAGACAGTTCCGTGGTAAGATCAGAGTCTTCATTTGCCAGCGGAACAGAAGGCTGAATAATATCGCCCAACGACTCCTGCCCTAGGGCCGACAATGAAGCAGTCGCGTCGGAAATCAGACTCTCCGAGGGTCTGGTAGTGGAGCGGGCAGACTGCCTAGCAGCCCATGACTGCTCATAGCAATGCAATCTCCATTGATTATTATCACGGGCAAGAGCAAAGAACTTTTTAGATATGGATTGGAGTTGGACCTTTTCTCGTGGAGCAAGGTCTGCTTATCGTAGACCTATCAGTTCTCGGTCGAAACGGTGCGGGGCAGGTCCGGGGCTTACAGTCGATGATTTTGGAGAGAATCTCTACCGGCAGCTTATCCATGGAGAAAGATCAATCGCATTGAGGGCAGTCTGAGGAGGGGAAGTCAGCCACGGGCATATCGGCCTCTTGAACAAATTCTAGACTCTTTTTCTGTCGGCTTTTCCCCGCGATCTGCGCTCCAGACCGTCACGTGGATCTAATTGGCATGGGATAAAGGACGAGGCTAGATGCAAAGTGGATTGGGTATATGTAAGTATAAAAATGGTGTTTCATACATTGAGTGATGGGCTTGTGACGTTTGGCACTATTGAGATAACTTCAGCAGACACCGGGGCAGGCTCGGGAGGCTTTTCCGGTATGTAGTCCACCGGCTTTTATAGAAAATTACTCTGAGAAGGAGAGAACATTCTGATATTTTCCACAGCCACAGCCACCCCTGCACGGGAAATGACCTAAAAATATGTTGACCGGACTGCCTTATAGGGACTCGTGCTCGATATCACATGTTATATTTATGTAAGTCGGGTTGCACATCTTAAACTGGCACTGACACTGACATGGGAGAAAGGACATATAGAACCGTCTATTGCTGAAACTATATGCATCTCGGAAATAGAAAGTGTTTGAATGATATGAGGTGTGTCACTTTCCCACAGCCAAACTCCAGCCCGGCCCAATTTCCTCCAGCGTCAATCAGTCATGACTCGTACATTTGAAAATAAATTATATAGCCAAAAGGGCAAAAAAGAAAAGAAAGAAAAAGACAGAAGATGGCAGAAGATAGCAGTCCACAGAGGCAGGGAGAGGCACCTCTACTCGTCCGGTCTAAAGACGGCATCCTTGCAGAGGATTGCCACCTTTTTAAAGAAACGTCGCCATTCTAGCGGATCACCTTTGATTTTCACAAATTCCACTTCAAATAACCCTTCGGAGACACACTCAATGAGCACTTTGCCTTGTAGTGGACACATTCTGCCATCTTTGGCAATCACCCGAATCATGGAAGAAGTATCTCCAGCACTAACAGCAGGGATACTCGGCACTGGAACCCCCAGTCGGTGAAAGGCCTCACAGATGAGAGGCACGAGAAGCTTGAGCTCCCATGCTGAATAGAAACGCGTCATTGAACGGGAGGGGATAATATCCTGGAACTTTTGTGCATTTTGAGTTCGGCTCACAGGCACCGAAGGCTGCTGTGAGAACTGTGACATAGAAGGCTCATCCTCAAGATGGCCTGCGATCGCTGCATCCTGAGAGGCAAACTTCTTTCCATAGGGCTGGGTCGAAGAAAACACATCAGCATTCTGTGGAGTGTCCCAGTCCATCAACATGCCGCCTCCCAGCATTTCTGGCTGCGTCGAGGAGAACCCTGCATTTGCACCGCTGTCATCACCATCCATGTCCATTGGGTCAAAGCTACGACTCGACCCCTTCCCGGATTGAGAAAGAGGATCTTGGCTGAAGTCGATATGGAGCGATTCAAACATCGAGGTGGCAAGATTAATTGGATCTCTCAGCTTGCCATCAGTGGAGAGGTATTTGTTTGCACGGGTGTACCAAGGATGCCTTCGGACATCCTCCAGCGAGAATCGCTTTTGGGGGTCCACTGTCAACATGCCACGCAATAGCGATAATGTAGCGGGTGGTAATTTCTGCCAGAGCTCATCCGTAGTCCGCGCATTTGTCTCAACATATTCGTGGTACTCAAAACTATCATCCGTCGGGCTATCCCACGGCGTGTTACCGGCCAACAGGACGAAAAGCACGATGCCACAGGACCAAATGTCAACTAGGTCCGGATGGTACCCAGCTCCTTTGTTCTGACCTCTAGTGCTGCTGCTAATTACCTCTGGTGCGATATACGGGGGACTGCCACAGAATGTGGTTGAGAGTTTCCGCGTTCCCTTGTACTCGAATAACGCCGCCAGACCGAAGTCGGCGATCTTGAGATTCCCGTCGCCGGTCAGGAGCATATTCTCGGGCTTGATATCACGATGACCGACGCCTTTGGAGTGCATAAAGCTCACAGCACTGACAAGCTGCGAGAAATAGACATGGGCAATATCCTCGCCCACACCCTCGTCGGCCTCGATCTTATCGAAAAGATCCCCGCCTTCGGCCAACTCCATTGCGATCCAACGCCACACCTCGTCCTCACCCGTCTGATAGAAGCTGATAATATTCCCATGGCCCGAGACGTGTCTGTGTACCGTGACTTCCAGTTGTAATTGTCTTGCGCTGATCTTCCCATGTCGCGCGGCGTAATCTTTGTGGATGTACTTGACGGCGAAGACGGGATTCTCTGAATCTAACGGGCAGGCCTTTTTGATGCTAGATGAACCAAACAGAGTCAGATCTAGACACTCGATGCCATGGGTCTTGTTCTTACCATGCGTAGGCACCTTGGCCAATAGTCTTGGACACGATGCGAAACGGCACGTTGTTCGGGAGCGGGGCCAGCTGCGAATGCTGCATTTCGATGAAGCTCACAGGGAATCCAGTGAATGCGATTGGACGTACGGAGTAACGGGGAGATATTAGCAGGGACAGGAAGTGAATTATGATTAAAAAGGCATAACGAGTGGGAAACAAGATAGGCTGAGATGTCGCGTCGAAGCAAGGGTAGCGAAACGCGGGACAAGACGCGGACCACTTTATCCTGATCGGGTAGTGTGTTGACAAAGGCGCAATACAAAGTAGAAGGTGATAGAGGAATATTTCACTATCTGATATGGATCACCTGGGCACTATGTACTCTATAGGATATATGCAACTATACTAAGCACTATTATTATAGTGCTATTTATACCTTGAAACTGCAGACCCGCAGTTGAATTCTCGATCGCACTACATTTGCCAGATCGACTATGCAATTATACTTTAAATTACATTTTCTGCTTATATTAGTTCAACAGACTTCAATTATATATGTGCGAGTATAAAGAGAATCCATTTTTTTTGAAGCAAGTAGATTCACCTAAGCGGGGTTCGCGTTGCCCGGGGCGTCTAAGGGCCGAGTAAACAAATCTTCAATTTTCCTTCTTTGTTCACTTCCTTCACTTCACATAATAAATCCTCCATTCTCACAATTCATCCCTCCTTTCTAAATTTTCGTTGCATCAAGTTCCCCGTGGGTCATTGTTACGGATCCGGCGTCATTCCAAACCCTCGTGCTCCTGTTACTAGCATTCCACAACCGGGAATCCACAGATTTCTTACTATTTCTTAAGAACCTCGATTGCCTTACCTCCCGATCCACAATGGACTACAGCATGGAAGACACACAGAACTCGGCGCCCGACGCGCAGCAAGCTAGCAAGCTGAACCCCTCGGGTCAAAAAAGCGACACCCAGAGCGTGACCAAACGGTTCGCGCCCCCCCAAGCACCCCCCAAGCAGCTCCACAATTCAGTTTGCTAGTTGTGGTTACATATAGCTAACCTAGCCTCTTTTATCCATATAGCCTGCAAGCCGAGCTCATGCAACTCATGCTCTCGCCCTCACCCGGCATTTCCGCCTTCCCGGACGCAGACGGCAACCTTCTCTCGTGGACAGCAACCATCACCGGTCCGACCGAGACCCCCTACGAGGGCCTCACACTGAAACTCTCCTTCGCGTTTCCCAACAACTACCCCTACTCTCCGCCAACAGTTTTGTTCAAGACTCCGATCTACCACCCTAACGTCGACTTCTCAGGCCGCATCTGCCTCGACATCCTCAAGGACAAATGGAGCGCCGTCTACAACGTATCGAGCGTTTTGCTCAGCTTGCAGAGCTTGCTGGGTGAGCCTAACAAGTAAGCATTTGCTCACATCATCCATAACTTCCATCAGCGCTAACAACCCAGTGCGAGCCCCTTGAATGCCCAAGCAGCCGAGCTTTGGGACTCGGACCAGGCGGAGTTTAAGCGCCACGTCCTCGCCCGGCACCAAGACCTGGACGATGAATAGACCTTGGATTTGATATCTTTTTTTCATTCTGCATCGGCGTCGGTTGGCCCTGTCGCCTATTTTATGGGCGATGGGATCGTGCTGCAAATGCATAACGGGCCTGGTTTGGGTCTGGGAGTTTCTGGTTCGCTTGGTTATTCCATTTTCTATCTTTGTCTCTATTGTTACTAGTACCTCTGAGCCTCCGCATTCGGGTACAGGCGTGAGGAATTCTTGCTCTTGAGATCCTCGGGCGGTTGTCTCGTTTCATTTCTTTTGGTCATTGCTCCTAGGGCGGTAGATCTGTTCATTGTCGGTGCCATTGTAGATCAAAATGATCTTGTACACTTTGCTTCCAAGATTGTATTGGCCAGTCTTCGTGTCTAGTATCCTCCACATAAGAATAGAAGACTCGCTTGTCTAGACTTCGTCGAGGTAAGTTCCGCAAGGGTCCACGCGGGTATAGAGGGAGGTGAGTCCTACGTATGCAGCCGACTATTCTTCTACGCCCATGCTCAGTGCTCCCCCCGTAGAAGTAAGAAATAAAAACAAGTAAAAATTAGAATGGATTCCACGCCATAATTTCGAGGTTGACGCTATCCAGATTGGACAAGCCCAGGAATAAAAAAAGAAGCTCAAGTAACCCTATGGAATCAAACGATCACCGCCCAGATCAGGACACAGGTCGTGCCTAGGTGGAGGTACCGAAGTACTGCTTCTCATTGGTAATCAACAAGCCGGCAACCGCCGCACTGGTGAAAGTACTAATGGCTCCAGTAACCATAGCGCTGAATGCAACACGAGACACATCCCTAGCTCGACCAGGCGCAATCTGTGACAGGACACCGATCTGGTTACCGAGGGAGCCGATATTAGCGAACCCACAGAGTGCGTATGTAACGATGAGGCGAGAGCGGTCGGAGAGGTCCTTGTACTGGGCGTGATTTTGGAGAGCCTCATAGGCGACAAATTCATTCTGTGGCTGGTTAGAAGAAGGAAATGACCGCTTATGAAGATGGAGAACTTACGGTAACGAGCTTGGTACCAATCAGCTGGCCAACCTTGAGCAGGTCCTTGTCACGGGAGACACCGAGCAGGAAGGCAATCGGGTAGCAGATGTATCCGACGATCAGCTCGAGAGTCAGAGGGGGGTCATTGATGTTCAGGTATCGGCCCCACCAAGTGAGGAGGCCGTTGACTAGACCGATGAGAGCGATGATGCACAGGAGGGTTGAGGTGATCATGGCAGCAATCTTCAGACCGAGCCAGGTGCCACCGGTGAATGCATGGAGGGCATTGGCGGCGCGGTGTTCCTCGTCATCGGGGACGACGACACGACCTGCAGTGAGTGTTTCTTCCTCCTCGGGCCAACGTATCTTCGAGACTGCTAGCGAAGCGGGAATACTCATGACGCAGGCGCTGACCATTGCCTGTGGGTTGACACCGATGCCGATGTAGGCGATCAGGACACTTCCGGCGATGGTAGCGAAGCCGGAGCACATGACTTGGTGCATCTCGGCCATGGTAAGGTGGGCGATGAAGGGGCGGATCAGCATAGCTGATTCGCCCTGGCCGATGAATGGGGATGCGGCAGCGACAACGGCCTCGGCACCGGAAACGCGCATGCTCCAGAAGAAGAAGACGGCGAATTTGCCAATGAACCACTGCAAGACATTGTAGTAGTACAAGAGTTGGACGAAGGAGACGAAGAAGATGATGGCGGAGACGACGCTGACGATGAAGAATTTCCCTGGGGCAAAGCCCTTGTCAAAGTAGTAGAAGTCCTCGCTGGTCAAGAAGATGACTCCGTCGGCAGCAAAACCAAGCAGATCAGTGGCTAGGCCTGAGATGAAGTTGAAGATGTCGTATCCTGCAGTAGTGCGGAGCACGAACAGAGCAATTATGAATTGCGCCAGCATGCCGACAATGACAGTGTGCCAGACGATCTTCTTGCGGTTTCGAGATGTGAGCCATAGCCCGAAGATGAAGACTATCATTCCGAACAGACTGACTGCACGGTTGGCGCGGGTGTTATCGTGTGATTCTTCAGACACAAACGAGCCAACAAGAATCACACCGATACATAGCGCGGCAGCACTGGCTGTTCTCAGCTTTTCGGGAATCATGCGCACCAAAGGGGGCGCAGTATGATCCCAGACCCAGTGCATGGGCTTCGACACGATACTAATGGGAACATAGAAGAATATGATTCGCAGCGTGATAGCAAGATAGAGCAGGAATGGGATGAGCCATCCTATATCATGTCGGTGTAGTATCAGGCCGGCAATCCACCAGCTAGGTGAAGAGTATGTGTAAGCCTCGAGTTGAGTCGATGGTATACAGTACCACTGTAAAATCCCAATAGAATCAAAGTAGTTCACTCACCCGGTAAACAGAAGCCAGACCACAGCATGGACTATATGCCTCCGTTGTTTTTGCACACGGCGATACCAGGTGCGCTTGGCTGGGAAGGTCTCGCCGGCTTCTTCGTCGTTAGAGTTCTTGCTGCCGTGGTCCAGAGGTGTTTGTTCAGCCACGATTCCTTTCTCGAATTGGGTATCTTTAGAGTAGACCACTTCATCTGGACGTCCCTCTTCGGCATAGGCTGTATGGTGTTGATGAGCATGGTGATGTTGATTGTCTGGATCCAGCACCGGATCTGCATGATGGACAACCTGCGATCCCGTAGGACCAGCGTCCTGGGTTTTATCCATCACGATTCCAACCCGATCGCAAACTCGAATGTTGGGGAGGTAAGAAAAGTACACCCGTAACAAATTTACAATTAAGACTGAAACTTAAAAAATACCGCGAAAATCAGACCTGAGATCCATGGACTCCTCACTTGCGAGGAAATTTCGACTTTTATAATAAAAACCGGTAGAGAATTAATTATGGGCCTTCCATTGATTTTATTTTTTTATTTTAGCACATACATATTGTATTTTCTGGGGTTTGAGAGATAAAGAACGCCCAAGCATTGGCACAAGACACTAACCATCGGACATTCTTCCCTTCTCATCCTGTTTGGCTGCGAGAATGCCAATGAACGGCTTGACCGACGGTGTACAGCGGAGGTCCCGTCTCTCCTAGAGCCAGCTAAAATCAATTGCAGCCACATGTAACCACATCCACGGCAAAGATGATAAGACAGGGTAACATTATCTTGCCACAGCAACCCCTGCCGTCTCCATTGATTGGTGGCGTAGTGCAGGCTAACTCCTCTCAAGTCCTTGGAAAGTCTCTCCGCACGGGTAGTTGTGGAGCAATATGGTCGTGTGCTTGATTTTTCCCGAGGTCTTTCCGAGTCGACTAGCTGGGATTCTTGAGATTTCTCCAGTTTCTCCAGGGGCGTGATACCCGAGCGCTTGGGCAGGGGATTGGAGGCTGAACGAAAAGAGAAAAACAAAAACAAAAACATAGGATGAAAACAGACTACACAAGTGTGTGACCTGCATTGTGGATTGTTCTCGAGCCCCACAGATGTCTGAATTTGCCTCATAACAAGGTGGGTTAGCGTTAAAAAAAACTGGAGGCCGGTGCGAAAAATTCGATAAGCAGTCAAGGTCCGAGATACACGTGTGGTCCTCAGGGATACCAAGTTTTCCATTTGCCAAAGATAGGCGCCCAAGGAGACACATCTAGGCGTTCTCGGTTATGAAATAACGTGTGATCTAGAATGAATTCCAAGGCATCCCAAGCTTTTGATATATTAGGCCTGTTTGTGATTGTTTAGTTATCTCGTCGCTCGTGACCTCGGAAGCCCTCCGTTACCACATTACTGGCCCGCCCGAGGACCCACAGAACTAAAGTAGGATGCTATGGAACGATTATGGCACATCCACGGGTGGTCAGCTGCCGGCATACATAAATCTACCCTCAGCCCACATACACGCGAGACAGCGTCTTGGTGATATTAACGCAGATGAAGACTATCTCTGGATACCAAGCTGTCTAAGCTACATGGCCCAGTCCACACGGTTGAGTCTCATACCACAGCACTGTATCCTCTGAAGGCTTCAAGGTTTGTCGGAAACTGATACTGGCCAGTAAATGCAATGGATGAGAGCAACCTAACTCTAGGCAGTCACCCAAAAAGGAAGTTCCAGAAAAGAGCTACTGATCATGCGTATGCGTACAGAGGAATGAAGGTTGTCACCCATAGCGGACGAGGGTTAAAGGAACCCATTTGTGACTGATGTGTTTACCTTGATATCCGGCCATCACATTGTCTCAATTCAGCTCCGCTCTTGACGGACTTCTACTGTTGCGAATACACTGGCGCCATTGAAAGCAGCTGGTGCAATCTCACGGCTACGACGAAATTGTGGTAGACCTGGTCCATCAACACAGGGTTTTCTTCATTGATCGTGACGTTCAGAATAAAGACACGAGACCGATGATTGCCGACAACTGCCCTCTTAAGGTGGCAGAGCTCTTGTAAGGGTGTCATGTCGCCAAAAGCAGTGTAATCCCGAAGGACCTTCTTGAAACGCATTACAAAGTTGTGAGGATCTCCCCTTCTGTAGCGGAGGTTGACAAATTTCTTAAACCGAAGGTAGGCGGCATGGGTATAATGGATTCCAGTAACAATCTTGCACTACAAAAGGCACTCGCGAACATTGGTAATATCGCAGATTGAAGAGGATATCTGCGGTGCGAGCGTAGATAAAAATTGTAGGAGAGCTCGGCTGTTAGCCTTTTCCCACTTCTCTTCGCCATCTGCGTGGTGCTTCCGTAGCTCCAAATTTGAAGCCACAGCCTGGATGGAACGAGCTTCGATGGCCTCTACTGTAAGGCGAGTTTCCTTTTCTTTGTTGCCCTCAGCCTCTTTGAGAAGCAGGGCTCGGACACTGCTATGAGATGGATCTGCGTAAATGGGAGCGGGAGGCATCTTGATCTCATCTCTAGCCAACTGCACATAGGCTGGATTGTTGAAACCAAGCATCATGAACATATGCTTTTCCCGTTCTTCCAGTTGGACGCACCCTTCAGCTTGGGAACCGATTTAGCCAGGTTGATCCCGTCCTTGCGGACTTCGAAGTCGAAAACCGAGATTCTTTTAGAAAATATAGACATAGCGGCGGCTGGAACAGGCACAGTCGAGTGCCAAGGTTTAGGGATTGCAGGTGACAGAGAGATGGTGTCGTGACAGGATCTGAAATATCTGTATCTTGAGTGCAAATCTCGCGTTGTGGAGAGAATTGCGTGGTTTTGTGACCAACGTGGAGGGACGGAAGCTCAGTGCGAAAAGACGTGCCAGAAGCGTAAAGATCCTGATCACTATCAAATTTCTCAGGCGAGCTCGGCTCAGTTGGGCGCATATACACACATAGATGGGCATTACTGACGAGGTGATGGACAGGGGGATTGAGGGTCTCACGGCGTGATGCTTGACCGCAAAATAAGCTTTGAAGGGGGTACGTGTTGGTTAAAGGAAGTAGACTGCAAGCAAGGTGCTCACAATTTGAAGAGATGCAGTGGAGAGGCACATCAGGACAACGCCGTCTCTGAGTGGATGGTTCAAGGAAGAAGACCGAGAAAAGAGCAAACAGTCTTAGACATCTGAAGCAGGAGAGCAAACAGTGGGATCAGATGACTACCTACTTCCAAAACATCCATGGATCTAATCTGTTCTCTTAGATAACCACAGCATTTCCCTTTTTGGCTTTTGTCAGATTGAACTTCAGGACGAATAACAACGGAGCAGCCACAATACAGAAAATGATAGCAAAAGTACCATATGCCCATCTCCAGCCAGTATGAGCGTAGAATAGGTTCGCCACCTTTGGTCCAGCAAAGGCTGTAATAAGGTACGGAGAAGACATAAAAGCGTATGCAAGATCTCGGTTTCTCAACCGCGAGAGATCGGAGGTGATTACATCCGCAGCGAATTGCATACCTACCTCCGAAGCCGATGTGCTAAAACACCTGAATTCCCTATTAGCACCTTCTCATTGATCCATGGATATTCCCAAGGTTCCTTACATTAGCGGCATAATAGACAGGGAAACTATTGCAAAAGGCCATGAGAATGAGGCCTACGGTGGCGCAAATCGACATTACCAGGGACCCTTCGGTTCGATCCAAGCGTCCATGATCTTGGCCACTGGAAGGAAGACGATAGCGGAGAAAGCATCAGCAATAGCGATAGGAAGACCAGATAAGGAGTGACGTTGGAAAGAGCCGTATAAGCGCTCAAACAGACAGACGATCCTTTCCTCCTATATCAGAAGTGTTACAACACACGCGGTTAGTCCAAACATATTCGTTTAGGCCGTGGGCCCTCACTCCACTGGGGCCGGAGACAAGCATCAGCCTGTGACAAGCTCTAATCAGATCGCCGGTGGCTTAAAGACCTTTACCACACCCAGTTACTTTCATTGAAACTTCACCGGGTCCATTCGCTTCCAACGTCGATTCAAGCTTCATGTGGATTCTTGGAAATTTATTATTGGACCTTGGCATTATGGGCCAACGATGCTCTCTCCAGCATCCGGAAAACACGCATTGAAATCAAATTCTGGAAGATTATCAGATTTGCCAAGTTTCCGGGCTTGATTACTTTTATTATCCACGTCGCATTCATGGGACCGAATCGGACAATTCGGAGAAGTTATTCAGCCATTTGGCTATTGAGTCAATTGTTATGACATGTGTCGCTTTACGTGCCATATTATTACTGCTATCCGTAGACTATAACTGATTCCATGCCGGTTCCTAGAGTCTAGCACCCGGCTTTAGAACCTCTTGCCTCTTTTCCCGCACCTAAATAATTGGTATAGTGCAGTAAGTAACTGACCATAGAGCAGACGCTAATGTGGCTGTTCTAAGAAGGGAAGGGGTTTAAAGGCGTATGACTTCGATGTTTAGGCGAAGCAATATAGATAGATAGATAGACCCAATTAGCAGTCAGAATGCTATCGAAGGCCCTTTTAATATTCCTTTCTAAGGCAGAAGCGCACCTTTACGGGCGATATAGTCGATTCTGCAGTGCTAGTCTGACTGATTCAACGAAGATGTCGCTAAGCGCTCTCTTCCAATTCACCGCCCCCTCTCTTTCACGGGCATCTTCCTTGGTATATTGGACATCGGCGAATCCGCGTAGGCGATCACACTCCCCTGATCGCGCTGATCGTCTATCTAACGAACCCCTTCTAATCTATCAAATCAGTACGCTACCGATTAAGCGGCCATCTGCGAAATGTCCACTCTGATATCTATTCTCTTATCCTTCTCCCAGCTCAAATTATTATGCCAAGGCGAGCTGAGAAGCCCATATAGGGTAAAACCTGTCGAGAGGCTAAGGGGAGATGAAGCTCGAATATCTAGAAGTTTATCTTGATAATAGTTCTTAGTCACAGCAAATCTTGCGCACAATACCTACATACTGGTTCAGCATAGAATTTGCATGAGGAAACCTGCTTCGAAGTTCAATCTGATACAAGAAAGGTGAGGGGCGGGCAGGGACGTCAGGGGCAGCATAGCATTCTTTACACCGAGATTTACCGAGATTCGAGTAAGCCTGTCTGTGAATTTGGCTCGCTCTCTGCAACCTATATGTGCACTGCAGGTTCTAAAGTGATTGATGGCTGTATAAAAGATAACATAGACAGCCTATAAAATGACGGCAGGTGATCCTTCTGAGAGGAAGGGATAATCCGTACGCATCTCTTTTATTGCCAGATCTACTACTATATTGTTTTCAGAACCTGATGCACGCATTTTATGTGTCTAAAAGAGAGAAGGAAGGAAGGAAATTGATCAACAAAATATAATCATGGTAGCTGATGATGATCTCTACCTACTGCCATGAAGCTATCTATATAGCCCTTCATAGGGACAAATAAAAAATGACCTGAAAGCTGGAAAATATTTCTAAGGGGCAAATGGAGATCTGAGAAACTGCATATATGCACTATGTTACGTGCGAGGTCTTTTAAACAAAAGAGTGCATCAATTCAAAATACTAAAGATGGGGAGAGAAAGCAAGCAAGATCTGGGATCAGAGCCTGGGGAACTTTTATACCAATAATCAATGCAAACGATGCAAACCCCGACCTTCTAGCCAACAAAGAACGCACGCAAGCAAACAAAGACAAAGCAAACTAAGCAAATAATCCGGCATGTGCCCAGGTGAATGCTTCAATGCAACAGAGCCTCAACCATACTGCTCGTCAAATGCAAGAGCGAGAGCTTGGCATGGTGTGCGGCCCAGAGAATTTCTACATATCCCAACGGCCATCCCCTTGATTGTTCGCAGCGAGCATTCCCACGTACCACAGTGCCAATAGGACCGTAAGTCGTGGTTGCGAAGCGCTTCCACCTGCAGTGAAAGGGATAGGTAGGGCAAGCTCCAGGTAGCCTTGGTCATCTAAGCGTCGGAATACAACCAGCTCTCGATCGGTAAGAAGAAACCCGTATCGTGAGTGATGCTGCTTCATGTACCAATTGACTTGACTAAGTGCTTGGCAGTACTCCCTACGTAAAGCAGGCTTGGGATCCGTTGCCATGCCTGTGTTCCATTTCCAAGACGGCTTGATATCTCTAGGGGCGCGATTCCAACTAGTGCCACCTGGAAGATTGAGGGCAAAATATGCCGTGTCAGGCTTGAAGTAGTCGATGACCTTCGCGTGCTCTCCAAGGTCGAATAACACAGTCGTCATACCATGCATCTGGTTCCGCACGGTCAAATGCTGAAATCCAGCACGGAGACCACGTCGAACTCTTGGAATAACATATTCCGACACCTTACCCCTCAAGGGATTCTCAGCTGTAATGACGCGAGGTGGAGAGGTTGGCATAGAATCTGGCGGCAGGTGTGCCTGTGCAAGAAGCCGTCCATATCGATGAAAGATGACATTCAACGTGAATCCGTGCCAAACAGCAGTTACACGGACGTCATTTGCTGCATATGCAGTGTTCGATGTGTTTCGCGGGGGTGTGGGGGGTAGAATGATTGGGATTGATGGTATGGCATATTACAAATACGACAGGAGAGATATGTTTGCCATGGCGGGGTATGGAACCTCAGATAAGCTAGTAACGTATTTTGTAGTCACTTGGAAACTCTGGGAATAAACGCTCTCTTTATAATGTAGATTGAGGGATCCGGTGGCCAAAGACACCCAACATGTTTGCAATATTTGGTTTCCATGCGTATACCTCTATTGGCCCAGAGTGAAAGTGATGAGCATGGTTTCAGTGGTTTACGCGCGCGCCTCTGCAAGCTCGAACGAAGAATCAATCCCTGACTAGCCAATAGTGCATATCATATCTCCGCAACATCGTAACACTGCGTTTCATCTTCGCGCCCATTATTTATAATAGCCAATATGATTGATCCTCGTGGGCAACGACCAACCTAGTTTTGGTGATTAAGCTTGGAAGGTTTCATGTGATTAAATTAGAAACGAGACATATCCACCCGTGGACCTGGGCGGGCATCCACCTGGCCATGGACTTCTCGCATTGCTTCCGCTGCTGACAACTCCTTTCTCTCACAACACTCTTTTCTATCCGAGATCTATGCCGGAACTCGATGATGTCAAGCTCGCAGAGATCACTTTCTGTAAAAAGCTTTTTACCTCTACTTTCTCAGTCATATTTCTCGTCAGTATCCGCAAACAGACATGTATCATGAAGGTGGTAAGTCGAGCATATATAAAGGGTCGCGCCTATATCGTTATACTGATATGAGAAGCATCATGGAAGGGTCCGCGACGCTACTATGAACCTAAAGACCGTGAATTGGATATTCACGTTCTTGAAACCACTGCCTACACCCGACTAAAACACCGGGGCTTTGTGATCGTGGAATTGTGCCGAACTACCTGGGTTCGATCAGAAAATTCAACCCTTCTCTATGCCAACCTCACTTAAAGATGTCTTTGGACGACGAATACCCTCCTAGCGCCATATTTCTGGAGTACATCGCTGGTCTGGAGATGATCAGTTTGGACAATCAGCCACAGCAGCGGATGGACAATTTCGTGGAGGGTATTCGACAAATACATAAGGCGCTAGTGGAACATAGAGACCCGAAACCACGGACATGATGGTTGTCACAGGTACTCTAGAGAGAGTAGTTTGGTTGGACTTTGATCGAGCGGAGACGTACGATGAAGATCATATCACTGCCGAACAAAAAGATTTTCTCGAGGAGGAAGTGATTGTCAATGAATTCAAAACTTTAATGGTGAGCCTTGGCCAGATATACTCACCGTGAGCATTTTACTAATTCTCATCACCAGGCGGCTGATCGCGAGAAGGGCAAGCTCGATGAAGCATACATATTTTACTGCACATAGTGATCTAGCTGGCTATCCTGTCAACTCGTGGCAAAACTCTGGCCATTGAATGCACGTCAAGAACTGTTAGCCTTGTCCAGAAATCGCCATGGCTTGAATTAATCGAAAAATACAGCGCAATCCAATATTGTACCCGTGGTCTAAAAGTCAGAATAATCAAAAAAGGGAGGCTAGACTTGACTTCATTTCCTCCGGTTTTCCTGTAATCGGAACAAAAGCGATATCGCTAGTGGTCCTCCAAAGCCTGGTTTAGGAAATCTTGGGACCGGAGCAGACGAAGTATCCCTAGGAGGATCGAGTATAGAATCGTAATAGTAATTGGGTGGCCAAGTAGTGGACGGAGTAGCAAGCTCTATTCGGTAATCTAAGGCGGCTGTATCTTGGGGTCATCCCTTGGCGCCTGTCATTACCGCCACCTTGCACGCTCTTTGAAATTATGTGTATTTACCGAAGATTCAAGGGGAACTGAAGTCATATATGCACAGCGGCTTAGCCGGGGAGCTCAGGGGGCACCTTCCCGTCGCACTAGGGCGGCCGGGGCTTGGGTAGGTTGGGGTACTGCGGCGCGTGGATGTGGGTATGGATGAATCCAGGGAAGAACTCATTCTGTTCATCATTGGACCACACAATTGTAACTTCGGCGTCGGTCCAGCCGTTGCAAGACACGAACGGCTGGAAGCTGACATCATGGTTGACTTCCCAATCCTTTAATACAGATATCCTCCGAAGAGACCCATACTTAGCCTAGCCTCTCCTACACTTCCTTTCTCCAAAAAAGACCTTTATACAGTATACTATAGTCGTAACCTACAGGATACGCTGTGACTGATGTGGAATCTGAAACGCAGAGCAATTCAAGCAATCTATATAGTTTATTCCAGAACCATTTGATTGGAGAGAAAATTCCTCTGGTTTCGTGAATCTTATAGTCAACTTAAGTGCCACTTTACATAGAAAATAGATCACCTCATCCATATTTTCGGTCTCAAACCGTTTCTAGTTTGCGCCAAAAAGAAAAAAAAAAAAAAAAAA